TTCTAGAGAGTTTAGGTAGACTAACAAAACATAAGCCGCTTTTAACGGTCTAAAGAAACGATTTACTAAAGTCCCCTTATTGCACTATTTCGTACTAAGCAAGTAGATCCGAATTGAGACTAACGCTTTATAGTTCGCTATATCGGCTATTATATTATAGCAATTAGATAATAACTATTACTAGCACCCGATTGCCTTCTTTTTACAAAAGATAATCGATATAGAACGTCGATATAAGACCTACGAGTAAGAGCTCTTAGCAATCGTAGAAGCCTTTAAGCATTAGCGCTACTATCTTAATAGTGCTTAGTATACAATTCAGGTCTATACAGACTATAATAACCTCCGTAGTATTACTAAGGTTACTAGGGTTATAGGTCGATAGGCTAGATAGGCCGTCTACCTCGCCGGGTTTGATTTTAATGTATTATACCGGCTAGGCGTAAGTAACCCTGCCGATAGCCTATCGAGGCGACCTAATTACGACAGCGAGACCTAATATATTAATTCTTTGTTTCTAACCCTATAGTATAAGATTGCTATAGCCCGTATTATTAATAAGCAAGCGTAGGATAAGCGGACTTCCGGACCCCGTAGCGACAACAAATACTATAGCGGAGTTGTCGTTCTTCTAGTATACGTTAAAAGAAAGGACGTAGATCGCTCGAGCTATAATAACTCGATTAAAGACATTGCTATCTATAGTAATAGCCTATATAGCGACAGTACTATAGAAGAGGTTGTAGTAGTTCCGGCTACTAGTGCTATTAGATGCATACAATACGTACCTCGTTTAATAGCGAGGGTGCTATTAAATAACCTTATAAATAGGGATAGTTAATCGTTTATAGATAAGCTATTACGTACTTAGTAGAGAGACGCCTTTGCTATCGAGCGTATTAATAGGCTTGTAAGTAGACGGGCGACTCGATCTAGCAAGAGTAATAACTAGTCAATCGACGACAAGGGTTACTTAAAGTTTAAGGGCAGATACTATGTCCCCGCTAAACAATCGATTAGATAAGAGCTTTTAAAGAGGCACTATAATAGTAAACTCGCTAGTTACTATAGTATAGAGAGGTCGCACGAGTTACTATCGCGTATATACTACTAGCTAAATAGTAAACGGTATATAAAGGAGTATATACAGACCTGTATAGTATGCTAGCGAGTTAAAGCACCGAAGTACTTACCGTTCGGCGAGTTGTCTTCGCTTCCTATTCTAAAGAAGCTATTTGCTAAGCTAATAATAGACTTTATTATAGGCCTTCTACCTACTAGGCGTAGGGGTAGTAAGGACGTATATAATGCTATCCTTGTTATAGTAGATCGATTTACTAAGGGCGCTCGATATATCCCGGCGCGGAAAGACTAGACTACTATTAATATAGCAGAGGCGCTATAGAGTAACATCTTCTGTACCTGTTAGGGAACCCCTAAGGGGATAGTCTCTAATAGGGGCACGACATTTACATCGTACTATTAGAGCGAAATATACCTACAGCTAAGACTAAAGCATCGGCTATTAATAGCCTTCTATCTACAGACTAACGGTTAAATAGAGAGGCAGAATGCTACCCTATAGCAGTACCTACGCAGTTACATTAATAAGAACCCCGAGGACTAGGTTAACCTCCTATAACTAGCTGAATTCGTATACAATAACAGTGTCTACTTATCTACTAAGGTCTCCCCTTATTTTACTATAATAGGCTAGAACGCTGCCTTACTATAAGACCTATTTACCTCGCTCGAGGCCGAGCGCAAGGAAAGGGAAGCGTATTAAGTACTAATACCTAAGACACTAGCAGCTATTAAGAGGGTTCAAAAGATACGAGAGATTCACGCTAAGATAGCTAACAAACTAGCAAAGGCCTAGGCCTATTAGAAGGCCTATTACGACAAACATTACACACCGATAACCTTTAAGCAAGGCGATATAGTTATACTAAGCACTAAGAACCTCCGCATCCGTAAGCACCTATTACCTAACGGCAAAACAAGGCCTAAGCTCGTACTAAGATACATTAGTCTATTCCGCATTCGAGAAGTTAAGGGCTCCTCCGTATAGGCCTATTAGTTGTAGCTTCCTCTTTATTACACTATCTATAATACCTTCTATATATCCCTCCTTAAGCTATATTACCTACGCGAGGGGGATAAAGCCCCTACTAAACACGAAGACATACTAGCGGATAGTAAAGAGCTGTAGTCTATAGAACGTATCCTATAGTACCGGACTAGGAAAGGCAAGAAGGAGTACCTATTAAGATAGCAAGGCTATTTACCTAAATAGGACTCGTAGGAAGCTAAAGCCTCTTTTAAAGACATAACTAAGTTATTAGATAAGTATTAGACTAGTATAAAGAACAAGAAGAAGGCTAAGGGCCTATAATGTCGCCTAGGAATAATGCTACCCCCGGGGTACTATTAGCTAACTAATTAGAAACAAGCAATTGTTAGTAACAAAGGACAATAAGACTATACTAGGCGCGCTACGACGCGTTAACTAATTGCCTACTCTTTTAAGGACTCTACCTCTTTACTAACGCGCCCTATAGGTCCCCCTTTTATTCCTTTATTCTATCGAGGCCTCGAGGCCTAGGCGATCGGCGAGGACGGCGTCGCGCTTGTAACGGCGCGGCCGGCGCGGCTATATTAGTAATAGTATTACGGAGTATACTACTGTTTAAGAAAGAAAGGATATAGCTATGTTAGTAACGGTATTGCCGAGTTATTATTAGTTAAAGAAGGAAATTAGAAGAAGGTAAAGTTAGCGCTAAGACGACTAGCGCCGCTACTATTAATATTACTTGCTATTGTTACTACGCCTATAGATACAACCTTACCTATACTACGAGCCTAAGGCACCTTTAATCAAAACTTTGATTAAAACTTTAAGGCTAAGTTAAAACTTTAAGCCGCCTAAAAGATTAAGCGACTAATAGACTAACTAAGGGCAAAACTATAGAGCTAAGCTAGCTAGGGTCGATCTTGCGGACAATAGGTTACTCCTCGATCTATCTAACCCTTTAAGCGAGGCGAACCTCTATAGTCTACTACTACACTTATAATAGCCTTTACTTATAGAAACTAGACGAGCTGTGTTTTTTCTAAAAAGATAAGATAAGATTAACAATTAAAGGCTACTAAACCTAACTAATTAGGGCTAGCGAAACTACGAACAATAATAGCCCTCGTAATAATAAGAATAAACCCTTAGAAGCGGACATAGCTAGGTCTTTTAGAGTAGACGCAAAGAACTCGGAACGATATTACTTAGAACGGAGGCAGGGCTGTAATACCTCTACGTCTACCTATTATAGTAGGGAAGACGCGCTCGTATTGTAATTAGTCGAAGGTCCCTAATTCTCCTAGTTATATATTACTTTATTATATATAAGGATAGCGTAGTTAGAGTTAGACATTATATTATATTAGAGGTAAGGTTTAACATAGTTACATAATCGGTAATTGCGTGTTTAATTTAGCGCAGACTAAGAAGCTTGCTAGACCTACTAAGTTAGTAGCGATAGAGGTTAAGAATAGAATATAGACCGGCTACAAGGGCGCGGCCTTTAGAAGGGAAGCGTATATTAGGACTAAAGAGGTTATACGTAATTAGTATATAACTAGGCTTGAGTAAAGCTAGGGTCTTAATGCCTTAGGTAGGGCTTAGCGCTTAGCGTTAGGCTAACTAGCCTGCCTTCCTCCCTCTTCTCTTAAATCTCTATCGAATACTACCTATACCTACTACTACCCTATCTACCTACTAATAGACCCTTCTTATAGTTTCTATAACTACGTAGGGCTTAACTATAGCGGATTTTGCGATTTTTGATATATAATAGTATTATAGCTAATACCATCTACTTACTACTACGATTATCTATATACGCGTACTAAAACCCGATAGAAACGGATTAGACTAGTAATAAAGGGTATTATATAGTCTATACGGGAGTTTATTTAATTAGTAGAGGGGTTAGAAAGTTTACTTACAGGTTTAGAAAAGTCTGCTACGGAACACGTGATTCTTTATTATATGTACGAATACCCTTTGTTACTAGTCTGAGTAGAGATAGAGATAGGATCTCTGTTATCTAACCGCTAATTGGCTATACGCCACACCTTAGCTACATACTATGCCACTATGCCACATATACACACACACATACCAAAATACTACACCCTCAAATAATCCTATCTCTAGTCTGGTCTCGAGATAGCATCTGCCCGGACACTTGTCATAGTGTCCCGGCGTAGACATTGGACTTGCACAATTTCGTGGTCATCTATAGGTGTTTGTTGTCTCGGCATGGGCATATAACAAACGAGCTCTGCCAAATTTCAGACGATTAATGTTGATGCTTGGATGGTCGAAAGATGGTCATGTGTATTGCAATACTCACAAGAACTTCAAGAAGGCTCAATGAGTGTTAATATGCGGGGATTGTATTTTGTGAGCCTGTTTAGAGCAGATTATCAAATCAAAAGAATGGATAGCATACTCGACCTATTTTGTTTCTATCTACACTCGTTCAGGAGAATATGAATAGATAGAGGGTAACTATAGTGGAGAAGTAGAAGGCAGAGTTGCGGGCTTGGTCGTCAGGGACGACAGCCTGATAGAACTACGGAGTTCTAACCTTTCACCATGACTTTATGATTGTATAGACAATTTGACGACTTGGACAAGCGAGCCGTTTTGAACACATCTGTACAGACATTTAGGAGAAGTATTGCGCATTCCAACCGCCGAACCAGAAAAGCGTCGCGCTCACGAGACGAGATAACGAATCACGATTCCTCCACCACCACCACCACGAATACAAGCCTAACCATAGGCGAAGGCGAACTTTCCCACGATGGGCGGTCGATACCGCTCATTGTCCGGTGCACTGGTTGATCCAGAGAAACAGCGCAATTCCAACGACTTCGACTCAGACGAAGCGCCGTCATTGGTCTCTAGCAGAGACACTTCGGCTTCATATGCGCCCATGCCCATGCTCAGCCAAAAGAGCGGACCCGCCTCATTCGCATACCATCTTCCACGAAGGCGATTTTCGCGATACTTCACACTCGCCATAAGCGCAGTGCTCTTCATTTTCATATGGTACCTCATACGGTCGTCTTGGGCGAGCAGGGCAGAGGTACAGCTGGGCTTGAAGAAACCACCGCCTCCTCCTCCGGCATGGGAGCAGTTTCCATTCCTGAAGAGATACCATGGCGGTATCAGAACGCTGGTCAGCCGGACGGAGAATACTCCAGAATACCCCGTGGACAACGATGAGGAGGTGAAGAGACTGCAGGACGAGGCGTTGAGGCAGAAGGAGCAGCAGGACCTACAAGTTAGCAAGGAGAAAGGCTTCCAGAAGCGAGCTGCGCTCGCAAGTCTGCGATTCGATCCATACAGCACGAGTAACGTGAATGGCGACTTTGAGATGCCAGTCAAATGCTATTTGGACAACAAGACCAAACTGGAGATTCCACAGCTGTTGAGCTATCAGGGCGTGACGAAAGGCTTTCCGAATCCAGTCATGGGCAGCTATGATATCTTCGGACTGAGAGACGACATATGCTTTGAAAGATATGGCAGACTGGGACCGTACGGGTATGGCTACAGCAGGAAGTTTGGTGGCAGTGGTGCTGGTATGGAGGGTGAAAAGGAAGGCTCCGAGCAAGTCTGGAAAGGCTACGAAGAAGAGGTGAACTACAAAAACGTGCAGTGGGCAGAAGCGCAGGAACGCTGCATCAAGGACAACGCGCATCGCTTCAAGCCGGCGCCCAAATTGCAGCGGAACCACTTCTTTACGTCTATGGCTCTAGGTGGGCCAGCGAAAGAGAAGCAGAGTGAAGACCAAGTTCCGGAGAAGACTCTGAGCGGAAAGCAGTATCTCAACCGCACAGCAGTCATTATTCGAACGTGGTGGGACTACAACTATGACGACGAGGATCTGTTCTACCTGCGAGCTCTGGTGAACGAGTTAAGTCTACACTCTGGAGCAGAATATGACGTGCACTTTCTCATCCACGTCAAAGACGACAACATGCAGATATGGGCAGACGAGGACACCTATCAGCGCGTACTTAATGACGCATTACCTGCCGAATTCAGAGGCATGGGTACATTGTGGTCGGAGCGGCAAATGGGCCTGATCTATGGCGGTGTTGCAGAGTCATTCTACCGCGACCTTCCAGTACATGGCGCATATCGAAGTACGTACATGCCGATGCAATACTTTGCACACATGCACCCAGAATACGAGTTTCTATGGCATTGGGAGATGGATATCCGCTATACGGGCAACTTTTATCACCTCTTCAAGCAGGTCTCGCAATGGGCAAAACAGCAGCCGAGAAAGGGACTGTGGGAACGAAACGGCCGCTTTTACGTTCCTGCCGAGCATGGAACCTGGGAAGAGTTCAAGCAGATGGTGCGCGTCCAGACTCAGCACGGCACAGCGCAGAAAGCTTCGGTTTATGGCAAGCTGGCGGCAGATGCTGGCTCAAAACATCCAATGGACGAGGAGTCACGTAGGGCCGAGAACGCAATTTGGGGTCCACTGCGACCAACTGGAGAAGGCGACGAGACAGACTTGCCAGACTCAGATCCTCAGCCTCCAACAACCTACGACAAGGACAACTATGAATGGGGCGTCGGTGAGGAAGCAGACTTCATCACCTTCAACCCACTCTTCGATCCTCACAACACGAATTGGATCCTTGCCGAGGATGTCACAGGCTATAACACAACGGAAGGATACCCTCCACGCAGGACGGCTATTATCACAGCTTCACGTCTCAGTCGAAGACTATTGGAGACAATGCATCGAGAGACAGCGCTCAAACGTCACACCATGTTCTCCGAGATGTGGCCTGGCAGCTGCGCTCTGCATCACGGATACAAGGCTGTCTACGCACCACATCCGGTCTATGTCGATCGTGCATGGCCTACAAGCTATCTGGCAGCCATATTCAATAATGGCATCAACGGCGCTGCAGGCGGTGCACGGACTAGCGTCTTCTCGGATGAGAGACAGCACAACTTCCTCGGCACGACATGGTACTACCACGCTGGCTTCTCTCCCAATCTGTGGAAGAGATGGCTGGGTTTCAAGGTAGACAATGATGGTGGTGAGGAGTACGAAAAGGCGAACGAAGGCAGGATGTGCTTACCTGCAATGCTACTACATCCTGTAAAGCAAGTGGATATGATATACGAACATCGGGAAGGCGAATGATCGAGCGTTTGAGAAGCGTGCTGCATGGCGATGGCGTTACAAGCATTGAATACGACTGAACAGATACCTATTTCCGGTAATGTATGTACATTGAACATATCCATGTCTTACGACGATCCCACGACCTGATCCAGAGAAGACCGCTATCAAACTTCGTTCAGAGCCCTTACCAACTCTTGCAGAATATCATTCAAGCTCTGCTGACTCTGCACATCACTACTCGCAGAAACAGATACCTTCCAACTCGATCCTTTCCCTCCCGCCACCTCAGCAGAGAAAACAACACTCCTCTTCCCAAACGCCAAATTCTCAACCTGCCTCACACCTTCACAGCCCGAGTAAAAAGCCGCCACAACCCCAAATTCCTCCTCCTGACCTTTCAACCCAACATCCATCTCCCTCTTCTCAACCTCCACCTCCGACGAATCCCTAGACAATGCAACCAACCCCTCCAAATCAAACCCCTCCTCATTCTCCCCCATCCCCTCAATCATCTGTCCCATAACATCTCCAGCAATACATGTATCTCATCCCCCCAAGAACCGAGCTACTAGGTGTAGAATTCGCAGTATGGGTATTGACTCTCACGGGCACAACGTTCTCCGATCCACCAAGGACTTCCGCGTTGCGGGTTAGGCGGCCGAAGAGGATGTCGCTTTGCCCTGCGAGTCGAGATAATGCGAGAGCGACGGAGGCTGTGAAGCGGGCGGATGGCGTGCCGGAGGGGTTTAGGAGAGGGTGGGGAGGGAGGTTGAGGTTTTGAGGTAGTGAGGGCTGGGAGATGGGGAGGGAGAGGGGGAGAGGTACGCCATTCTTCCGCCGTGGAGGAGAGATTGCTAGTATGTGGTTGAGGAAGAATGAGGGTGGGATTTTCGTAAGAGGTAGGTGTTCCAGCTTGGTGTTGGGGGAAGGGGACGGCCGGCACAGAGGTCTTTGAGGGCGGATGAGAGGGTGGAGATACTGGTAGAGTCCATGAGGGCGCGGTGGACTCTGAGGACGAGTTTCTTAGTGTTCGCGTGTTTTTCGTGGATGAGGTAGCTTTGGAACCAGGGTTGTCCGAAAGCGAGAGGATGGTTCAAGTCTTCTTTGATTATGGTTTCGAGGATTTGTTCGGAGGAGGTGGAGGAGGTTTCTTCGACTTTCATGGGTGCTTCGTAGGAAGCGAGGATTGTTTGGTAGTATTTGTCTTGGATTTGGGTGAATACTGTTCGGAGGATGTCGAAGTGGTTGATGAGGTTGTCTACGATTTATGCGATGTTGGAGACGAAGACACTTGATGGAATGTCGAAGGTGAGATAGTTATTTGCTTTGGAGATTTGATCGAGGGTGCCGGAGAGGTTGCGCTTTTGGAAAGGTGTAAGGCTGAAGAGATTCATCATCGTGGAGGTCGGATGGGTTCCGTTAAGCGCATGGCTAGTCTCTTGTATTGCAGATGAACCATGGGCGTACTTGACGTGCTCAGCCATGTCGACGAGTCTGGGATGTTTTAAGACGTCCGAGACGCAATGGCAAGCCCCCATTTACCCGCTTCCATTGTCAATCGCGACGCTGACATACTGTCTCCGCCGAGCGCAAAGAAGTTGGATTCGGCTGTGATTGTCGCCCGGTTACTTATGCCAAGTATTTCGCCCCAAAGCTGGGATAGCTGTGTCTCGAGGATGCTCAAAGGATCTGAAGGGTCTCGTTTGGTGTCACTGTGCGGGCTTGGTGCCTTTGCCTGCGACATGTTCTTGGCCTGTTCGCGCAGCTTACGACGGTCTACTGCTCCGGAGCTTGTTCTGGCCATAGTAGCACAAGGCACGAAACGCGAAGGGATCATATACCCTGGTAATTGTTGCGTGAGCTTCGCTTTGACATGATTTGTCGACTGCTTCACATAAATGTCGAGCTCCAACTGGGATCTGCTTCTCCATGAGCAGTTGTGAACTCAACGATCACTTCCTTGACCTCATCTGGTGATAGAAGGTCACGAATATGGTGCTCAATCTCGCCAAGCTCCACGCTATGGCCATGGACCTTGACCTGATCATCCTTGCGGCTAACGAGAATCAGGCTGCCGTCGGCCTGCTGCCATACTAAATCTCCAGTCTTGAAGAATCGTCTAGTCCGACCCTGAAAGCCTGCAGCACCACTTGTGATAAAGTGAGGGTCATTCACAAATGCAGATGCTGTCTCCCTCTCCTGGTCAATATATCCTAGTCCGACAAGCGGGCCTTCGATCCAGAGCTCTCCAACTTCGCCGATACCGCAAAGTTCGCCGTCGTTAGATACGACCCAGGTGTTGCTTCCAATCCTGTGACCCAAGCTATGCTCGTCTAACAAGAGTTGACTTTGGGACGCACACGTCACCACAAAGGTGCATTCAAGTGGGCTATGTCCGCTAACCAGTCGGACATGAGGGGCCAGGTCTAGCTTGACAGCTGCTTGTCCCGCTAAGAACAGCGTCTCAAGGTGAGCGGTAGAAGTGAAATCCACTCTGGAAGCCTGAGATGGCGTCATGTGTAGTAGACTGCTTTTCAAACGGGCGATGGAGGCATCGAGAGATTTGCTGAATTCGTCCTCTGCGGCAATTCCAGGTCGGTTGATATTGCAGGGTCGAACAAGGCGCGGTAAGCTCTCGTTCGGCAGCCCGTAGAGATCCACGTCGATAATCCTACCCTTCTTGCAATCCTTGACGTGATGTTTCTGTTCACCAGCTTGGCAAGGGGGTTGTAACGACCGCTGAAATTGCCGTAGCAGTCACTCAATCGAAGAGGCTCCCCGATCGTGTAGACGCTACAGATTTCAGTCGGGATGTGGAGCATGATAGCAAAAGACTCGGAGGCTTCTTCAATTTGACTTCACGTACTGCCCTTATGCTGTGTACAGTAGAGTAAGTCTCCGGCATTCCTTCGATAAGCGGCTTCTTCCGTGAACCTGTGTAAAGTTACTGGGTTTTGCGTTTTACCGTAGAATGCCAAGACCTCTCGAAGAGCCGCACACCGCATTTTAAACCTACCTCTTTATAGACCGTATTGCCTTATTTTTAATAGTATAGCGACCGTTAAGGTATTATTTTAATCGTAGAATATCGCTATATTCGTCTATAGGTTATAAAAAGAAGGCGCCGCCCGAAAAGAAGCTAGAGGTACGTACTAGGATTAGTACGAAGATGCCGCCGGAGACTATAAAGAAGGTAGAGTTATTATTCGAAGATAGCAAGTCGATTAATAATATAATACTAGTAACTAGTATTACAAGGTCGACCCTATATAAATAGCGCGTTAATTATAATCTCTTCTATTAGGCCTATTATCTACTATGCCTACCGCTAGGTCGTAAGCGTATACTTACTAAAGAAATGCGAGACTAGCTCGAAGAATATCTCTCTTATCGACTAGAGGTATATCTTAAAGAGATATATCTCGCTCTCTATAACGAGTTTAATATCTAGTTATACCCTTCGAACGTTTACTACTACTTAGTCGATATAATTGCGAGCGAAGCTCGCCTTATAATAGCAACGTAGGTACTAATCTAGTTGCTAGAATGCGCACTTAGCTATACGTAACGCTAAGCCGACCCCGGATTTTAGAATCCTATATACCTAATTGGTCAATTTCTACAAGTGGAGACTTTCGGAGCTAGCGCCGGTATCTCCGAATAAGCGCCGACTTCCCGAACAAGCGCCGACTTCCCGAACAAGCGCCGACTTCCCGAATAACCGCTAGTAAAGCCTTTTGCCTTCCTTCTAACACTTCAAATGTATAGTAAAATATATAGTAAAATATACAAACAATTAATAAGAAAATTAATAAGAAAATTAATAAGAAAATTAACTAAAACATTAATAAAAGAATTTATAAAACAACTTTTAATAAAAGAACCTATAGAAAAATTAATTTTAATTATAGAAAACATACGATTTAAATTTATAAAATTACCGAAAAATATTAAAGGAACGAGAGCGAGAATAAGAGCGAGGAACCCTAAAATTCGCGGCTCCGCTATACTAGGTATATATAAAATTTAAAAACTCGCGGGCGCTACCGCTATTACTACGTAAGTAGAAGGAGCAGAAGTGCTTACGTACAGGTACTATCCTGGTTAGTAAAACAATTAACAAAACAACAAACAAAACAACTAATAAAACAACTAATAAAACAACTAATAAAACAACTAATAAAACAACTAATAAAACAATTAATAGAACAATTAACAAAACAATCAACAAAACAATTAACAAAACAATTAACAAAACAATTAATAAACCAATTAATAAACCAATTAATAAAACGATAAATAAAACAATTAACAAAACAATTAACAAAACAATTAACAAAACAATGAATAAAACAATAGTAGAACAATTAGTAAGGCAATTAATTAAATAATTAATTAAACAATTAGTAAAGCAATTAGTTAAACAATTAGTTAAACAATTAATAAAATAAATTATATTCTAGTAAATAAATAACTTATAATAAAGTTAAAAAGAAGGTAAATAATAAACTAGAGAAGAAACTAAATAATAAAGCAAATAATAGATTAAATAAAAAACTAGAGAACAAAGTAAATAATAAACTAAATAATAAGCTAATTAATAGACTAAATAATAAGCTAGTACTAAACTAAGTAGTAAGATAGAAAACAAGTAATAAATAAGGATATAAATAAGAGGACTTAGACGTATTAGAAAAAAGAAAACATATAATAAAAATAAATAAGAAAATATAAAATAGGTAAGTAAAACAAGTAAGATACTAAATAGAAAAACTGTAAAACATTAAAGAAAAAAATTAAAAATAGTTTTTTTAATAATATAAAAAGTAGTAATAGATATAAAAAATTAGAGAAAACTAGAATAAAAGTAAGTAATATATATAAAGTTAAAAATAATAAAGTAGTATCTAAAATACTAGAAAAGAAAAATAGTAATACAAAAATATAAAAATACTTATTCCTAAGAAACTATTCTAATAGAACTAAATCGTATAATAATAGTAATAGCTTCAAGGTCTAGCTTCGAGGTCTAAAGAACCGAATTAGCTTAGTATATATAAGGCGAAAGCTTCGCTCGCACTCCTCTAGGCACGCGCTAGCCGCCTAGGAGCACATTTTAAAGTAGACTTAGAAAGCATCGCGGAAGATAGTAAAGGAGCGCAATCTATTAGTAAGAGCCGTTTAGAGTAAGAAGTATAAGAGGTAGCCTATTCGGAAGTTAGTATTTATTAACGAGATAGCGACAAACTAGAAGACGGCTTACCGTAAGTATAGTTAGTCTCTAGAAGGCGTAGATTATATAGATTATTAGTACGTATAACGAGAAGAACGCACTTTAGTCTTACCGGCGTTAACGATTAATAGATACCTGCCCTATACTCTCTATATCTAAGGCTCTATAGATTAAGTTACCTTTAACAACTAGCTCGAGAATAAAGTGCTACCGCTTATTGCTAGATAGGAGATAATCTTTATAATAGACAACGCCTTAATCTACTATAGTATTAACGTAGAAGAGATAATTACTCGCGCTAGACATACGCTCGAATATCTGCCTCCTTACTTACTAGATCTTAACCTAATTAAGCAAACCTTTAATATACTAAAGATATAGATAAAGAAGAATAAGGATTTAATTAATAACTTCGACTGCTTTATAAACTTCCTTATATAGGCGCTAGAATACGTAGTAGGAACAGACGTACGAGGGTTATTTAGGCATACTAGATATAACGTTAATAGCGGAGAGGAAGAAGCTAAGGATTAATTACTTCGCAACTTCGACTCGCTTTATATTTAGCTATAACTATATAACAAATATATAATATTATATATAGGATCTCGAGATTATATATATACGAAGCTCCGCTATTAATTTTATATATATTACTATAGTATTGCGCATATAGTAAAATGTATAAGGTATTAGTAGGTATTGCTAAGCTTTATATATTTCCTCCGCTAAGAGCTCCGAGAGCTTTGCGAGGTACGGCCGGAGAGGCGCTTTGTAGCGATAGTAATAATATAGATATATATAGCGGAGTAGATAACAAGCTAGTTGCATTCTAAGTTACTAGCGAACGTCTAATAAATCTGAACTAATAAGAACGGCCGTTGCTCCGTCGTAAATGTCGTTATTATTACTACTACTTTCGAGTTCCCTCTACCCTTTTAAACAACTTCTCCTTCTAAAAGCGCTTTAAATACTTAAGTAGGCGACTATAATGGCCTTTAAAGAAGCCTAATTCATCCTTCTAATACTTCTTATCGACTCGTACTATGCGATTATAGTCCTATTTCTTAGTAAGGAAGTGTAACTCTATCTTTAAGAAGTCGTCCTTCTCTTCCGAATTAGACTATTCGTATTGCTTGCTAGCCTACTAAAAGAACTGTCTTATAAGGCTTAAGATAGGCGTACTAATTTGCTTAGCAACACGTAGTAGAATAGGCGACTCTTACTATACTTATTATAGCTCTAATTAAGGTTATTACTAAGCTGGAATAGTACGAGAGCCGCTAGGCTAAAGAATGCTAGTAATAGCGTAGAAAGCGGCCTTAATTACTCCCTTATAATTAATATAAGATATAGGCGCAGACCTGCTACGGTTATATAGGGTATATAGCACCTAAGTATATAGAGTCTCCTTTGCCCTTGTCTGCTTAGCCTTGTCTCTCGTATTGTTAGTAAATTGAGCTATTTTAATAGTAACGTTCTTAGGCGGCTTCCGAGTCGTTACGCTAGGTTTATTAGTAGTAAGGGCTATAGACTAGAGCCTAGCATTGTTATTGCTAATCTAGAGATAGTTGTCTTTAATATTAGGTAGATCGTCTAGTACGTAGTAGTACTAGTTATAGTTCTTATAAGATCCGTTAGTATACTAATTATTAGCTTTAATCTTAGCGATATAATTACTAACTTGCCGTTACTTAGCAATATAGGCAATTCTATCGATAGTCTACTAATCGTTTAGCTTCAACTTAGATACTTTAACGGCCGTAGGTATAGTATCCTTTACTACTGTCTTAAACTCGAGATCTACTTTAATCTTGTCCTTTCTATTACATTCAAACTCGAGTGCTATAGCGAGAGCTATTCGATAATTATCCCCTTCGAGAGGTTAGTATTCGTAAGTAGGAGCAACGGATATAGCCGGAGCGACCTTATCTTCTTCTTCTATAGTTATCGACTGCTTAAACTAGTTACTCTTATTAATACCCTTTATAGAAGCGATTATAAAGTAGTCGCCTATAAAGAGCTATTTCTTCTACGCCTTAGAGACCGCCTAACGATAGGCTTCGTAGTAATATTAAGCGGACTAGCTAGTGCGCTTAAAATTCTTTATAGCGACCTCTTAGTTACTAATAAGTAGGCGCTATGCTTGTTTATACTAGAAAGTATTATAAAAGTCGTAAGAAGCTATCTTAATATCTTCTTTATTTATTTCTACTCTATTAACTACTCGCGGCGGCGCTAACTTACTAAATATAGAGCCCTTCGATAGCGAGGCGTCTACTAGAGCCGTTAAATCTATAATCTCTTTATTATTACTAACTGCCGTCGAGGCGCTATTATTCTACTTAGTAAACTCCCTCTATGCCTACGCGTCGTTTACGCGAGCCTTACTAAACTTCTTTAGCGCCGCCGCTACCTTTAACTTTATATTCTTCGTCCGACTCTTCTTTATAAGTAACTCGCGCCTCTTAGTAGCCTATTTATACGCCGGTAGGTTCTTATCGACTAGTTTATATATTCTTAAAGTCTACGAAGTCGTCGCATTTCTACCTTAATTAGGTATCTCGAAATACTATTATACGAAGTCGCTAGCGGCGTAGATTACGACTGTATACGCTAACTCGGGCGGTAGATTAATAATAATCGCTATAGGCGGTATAAGGGTACGATTTAAGGTCTATAAGAGCAAAGAGGAGCAGAATGCCTAGTAAACTATAAGGTTCTATACTGCGGAGGTGCTATGCTTAGCATTCTACGGTAAAACGCAAAACCTAGTAAAGTACCGTAGAAAAGACTGCTGTTTGCGGTAGTGTCTACGGTCGCTACTGCAGTCTACCTCGCTAGTCTTATATAGCCCCGCTTCTACTGTTTTTGCAAGCCGATCGTACTAGAATATCTTGCCGATAATGCTAAGATCGGAGCAAATAGTTCTACTTTAGTTCGACTCTAGATGCAGCTAACCGTAGGCGACTCTAGCTTATGTATATTATTAGACCTTTAGCGAGCATGCTATGCCGAGCGGCCGCAAGTTAGACGAGATCGTAAAGAAGGCTAAAGGAGCAAAAAGGCGTGCGGTAGCGAGCTCTCGTAAAACGGAGGCGACGCGACTTAGATAATGTGCGGAGGCTAGCGTACTGCTAATATGTGCTTCGACAATATACTTTCCTCCGGTAAGGGAGATTGTAACAAAGACACGAGATATAAACACTTAGGGCATTACAGTCGATAGAAGAGCTCCGCTATTACAGAAATGCGACGCTTCATTCTCGTAATAACAACCTATAGAATATAGTATATTACGGACATTATACTACATCTCAAGCGCGTAGTCGTAGTGTCCCGGGTAGATTATTGCTATAGTTAACACGAGGTTTTAAGGACATTCGCAATTGCCGAAGAATGCGAGTAAGACCGCTCCTCGTAGCCGACTAGGATGTAATCGGACAATTACCCGGCTTTTATAAAATTCAAACCCGCTAGGATAAACCTCAAGCTCCGGCTTACTAAGAACACTACTTTAGCGATTAATCTCGGTGCGATTGCTAACAATAATATCGCGTTGCAAGTGTTACACGTATAGGTAGAATTCGCACGTTTCCCTAGGTTAGTAATTAATAGAAATTAGGAGATTTTATAGTATAGAAGCTTGTTTTATAGTAGAATCCAGCTAGCACCTCTTCGATCTATTGCTATAGCAAATGCCTAGCGTACCTATACTTCCTTAGTAGTAGATATAGGCTTATAACATTCTCGGGGTTATAGATAAAGCTATTATAGTTTACTAGACTATAGTTAAAGATTACCTACCCTCCTAGTACGTAGAAGTTGTTGCTATTACCGCTATAGAAGGTAGTACTATTGCTACTATATAGCTATAGCTCTATCTATATTATTAATGCCGGCGGAGCGAATAAGCTTACTAGCGGTAGTATAGGGTGCTATATTAGTGCTAGCGGAGCGGTTGAAGGTAGAGCGCTCTATAAAGGTAGAGCGCTCTATAAAGGTATCGGCTGTTGTTATTGTCTATAGTCTTCTATATTGCAATACGTGTTTCTAGGTCTATAGCAATAGATACTATAGACTCGGTTATTAGCTCTATAACCGTATCGACCGGCCTTGCAACCTGCCTTATAACTACACCGTTGCTTCTTAATAGTTACTATCGCTAGCAGTAATAGTAGTAGCCCCTACCTGCTAGGCTTAGCTTGTCGTTGCCGCTTAACTGGATTAATATAGACTCGAGCCGGTACAGTACCTAGTAGTAGTATTACTCTGTTAGTTAGATTAATCCGCTCGGCGCTAGTAGGTAAGCGGCCTATGCTATTGTCTCCTTAACCTCGTTTATAGCTAATATTCGTACGCTTCTTAGCTCTCTTCCGTAGCTTAATAGTGCGGTTGCTAGTGTCCTTTTGCTTGCCGCTAGGTATAAGCTAGTAGTTATTAAAGTCGTCTACTATAAGCACTCGAAGCCCTTCACTCTTTAGCATCTCTCGGATTAGACAGCGATAAGGCATGCCTATCGTACAGCGGAAGCGTATAGAACACGGCTTCGGCTAGAATTTACTATCCTTCTTAGCCTTCTCGATTTCCGCCTTTATAAGGTCTACCTATTCTTTAACCTTATTAAGTGCGTGCCTTATAACAATGCGGACTACTCGCTAGTAGAATCTGTCTATTACAAAGGCAACGAGTCTACTATTAGACTCGATAGTATAGCGCTCCTTCTAGCGGTCGATTTAGTAGTCCTAATATAGCTCTATTCGCTCTACGAAGGTAAGAATGTCTGCCTTCGAGGAGGTAAGCTATAACTTAATGCCTGCGTACGCCCCTTTAATAGGGGAGGTTGTCTCGTTGCTATAGTGCTTATTACGGTTAGTCTACGCCTTAATATACTTCTTACGATAAGGCTACTATTTATTCTCGAGATAATAGGCTATATTAAACTAGGCTTCGTCGGTAGTGGAGCGCTTCTTAATGTCCTTTAAGGCAGCGTTATAAGCAGTCTCCGACTAAGCGTTAACTACTAAGAAGAAGAGAGCTATAAACTCCTTACCTACCGGAGATAGGTTAAAGCGCTTAGTCTCGTAGTTCTTTATAACACTAAGAACGCGCTTACAATTAACAGTAACGGCCTTGTTTATATGCTAGCGATAACACTATATTAGAAGGTCCGGAAACATAGTGCCGTAGGCATTAATAAATGCCTAGTCTCGGTCGTATAGAATAATCTCTAGCTTATTAATCCGCTTCTTAACTAGTAGCTCTCGGAGGCAGGTAAGGGCGATAATAAAGGCCGCTTCTCGCTAGTTTAGCATTATTATTATAGCTAATAGAGCCGTTAAATTAAATCTAGTAAGGAAGCTAAAGTTAAGCAGTAGCAGGCTATAATCCATTACGTTATAGGTGCAGTTAGCAAGTAAGACTTCTAGATATAATCGATAGGCCTCAATTATTGTTAAATAAGCGAAGAAGATCTATTATAGACGGCTATCTCGGACGCTCTTACGGACGAAGAAGCCTCGTTCTTCTAGCACCTAAAGTGCCTTCTTAATAGGTGTCTTATTACCGAGCTTTATAGCTCTAACCTTAGACTAGCAGTTGTAAATATCTCTTATTGTTTAAGGCAATAGCGAGTCCTACCCTTCCGGTATAAAGCGCTTCTTATATAGGTTGCGACATACTCTTACTAACAGTCTAGAAGAATGTAGAGTGCAGAGATAAGCTAGCATCTTAGCGCTCCGCTCGCGACGTCTATACTATAGCAATCCGTAGGCGTTAGTTAGTCTATAGTTATAGTATAGTCGAGAGCTAACTCGTAAGAACTAGGTAACTTTAGGACCTTTAATACTGTTCTCGTAATCGCTAGAGGCGCCAATTATAAAGGTATAAGTATAACTAGTAATCTTAGTGCCCTTCCGCTTACGCTTCTTGCTAGTTATATTAATACGCTAGCCGCTAACGAAGGTTGCTACGCCTACTTCGAGCCTCTTCTACTACTGTTTCGTAGCACCTTTACTACAATAGTAGAAGACGCGCTAATACTAGCGTAAGAGGTTCAATTTAGTGCCTTATCGCTTAAACTCGTAACCCTCGATACGAGTAAAGTTATAGATCCAATTCTCGGCCTCTTCTTAAGTAGGGAACGACGATAGTAGTAGCGGCAATAGAACCTCTTCGAAGGACTCGCGAGTAACGCGAGGCGCGATACTATCGCTATCGCTATCTCCTTTACTAACCTCTTTACTATTCTTACTACTATTCTTACTACTATTCTTACTACTATTCTTACTACCTTTAGCTTCCGCCGCTACTTCTAGATTATCGTTAATCTCCTACTGCTTAGCTTTATTAATCTCCTACTAACTTAGAAGGCTAGGACGTCCTTCTACGGCATACTACGCGTCGATAGCCTTACCGCCGCCGCTTAGGTATCGCTCTTTGTTCTTAAGGTCGATAATCGCTTCCGTATCGCTTAGTAGAAATACGTAATCGAGAAACTCCGACTCGTACTCGTTAAGAGCCGCCGCCGGCGCGTCTACGACATTAATCGCTGCTATAATAGGCCTTAGTTTAGATAGTAAGAGGAGGATTTATAGGAGGAAGAGTGCGTAGGAAAACGCGTCGAGAAATATACTAAAATACTACGCTACGCTCGATCTAGCGCCCGGGCGCGATTTGCGCTCGAAACTATCGGAATACCCTTAGAAAATGATGTTTAGGACTAACTTTACGATATTAATACTACTAGAAACATTCTATATACTGGAAATCGCGATATATACTACATTTGCTAAGGAAATGCGATTAGAATAGTAAGAGACGATTTTACTTAGTAAGCCGGAGCTTGAGGTTTATTCTAGCGGGTTTGAATTTTATAAAAGCCGACAATTACCATGTTCTATAAGATCCTACCTGGACCGACCTCATGGTTCTAATAGCGTTCGTCGTGGGAGTTATTACCGCCTATTGATCCAGCGATGGACGCCTAGTAAATGCCGTTCGTCGTTTGGCAGTGATGAGGCCGCTCGACCTGTCGCCTCGCGCGAGAAGCGATATCTGCAAGTCATCTATACATTCCGTAGTTGATGTGCTAAGCACACCCTGTAGCCCGAGATCATGCAGTGTTACGGTCATGGGCCTTGGAAGTCGCGGAAGCGCCATGCTCCTGCTGTTATTAACCGACCCGAGAGGTTGAAGAAGGTCAAGCAAGGCCCCAATTCGTGAGGCACGGCACATATTGTAGCTACAGTATTATACCACAGGCAGAAGAGCCGCTGCTGGACGGGGCAAAAGTCGGATAAACGTGTGGGCTTCGTCGGAAAGAGTTGCTACACTTGTATGTATCTGGTATTTGTGCGATGGCTTCCACGTGTTAGCAGGCATCGAAAGTACGGCTCCATCATTTCATCGTGCAGCAGGTTAGAGTCCACACTCGGTCGGTGAATGTCCCGTCACGCTCGTGTGATGAGTCGTATGTATCTCTCCAAGGCCAAACCACCTGCCTACTCCGGTTTAACGCGATGCGTTGCGACTGGCGGGCTAGTCTACAGTACGTAAATTTGAAAACCTGGCGTGCTTTCAACACGTGGCAGTCGCAGCCAAGGTCAGATCCACTAAACTCTGAACAAGCCACCATGCGAGGCGATGTGCTTCCCCGAACGACCTATGTCTGTGTAGAGCTCACGATGTATGCCAGCATCAGCGAGGACAGAAAAGGCTCCTGTGCTCTTGCTCCATGCCATGCCATGCTTCACCCACGCGCGGCGAAATGAACGATGCAGGGAGTCAGAAGCGACAGAAGTGCGGAAGACATGAAATGCGTGGTTGACGCGAAATCGGGGCCCGCATGCCGTTACTCATCAGACGTGGCTTTCCACGGCTTGATCCTGCTAAGCAGCGTCTGCCGCGTTTCACTATTCTTGGTGGTGAGCAAATCTCGCAGCACAACGGCTAGCCTGGTGTGATCTTTGACGCCACCACGAGGGCGAGACAGCAGAGAAAAATCTCCGAGCGGATGCCAGCATCGTGAGCTCTGCTGTCTGTTGTGAGTCGTGGCTCTGTCCTCCCTCCAGTGCGACGGACATCCTCGCGCTCGAGTCATGCTGTGATCACTTGGACCGACTTGTCCACATCCCTGGTGTGGGCGGATTGTCCAGTTTGAGCTAGGCCGCATGCTTGAGGCGGGACGCTGCAGCTCAATTTCAGACACGAGGTTGTAGGGATATGTCTCGGCGCAAGCACATCCTCCAAAACTCCTTCATCATGCCGTGACACCGCCTATATCAAAGCCGGCTGAGAGCTGAGCGGGGTCTCTTCGGATGAGCACATGGCAGGCTCGCCGCGGGATCAGGCTTACAGTACATACATGTAGTATGCAAAGAGGGATCTTGCCGCGCGTGTCGTGCAACATGTGGTCAAGGTCGGCAGTAGCAGTTTCAGAAGCAGATACAGCAGTGCATACAGCCAGCTTGCAAGAGGTCTTCACAAAGAAGCATTTTGAGACTGGTCTCCTTGCCAACTTGGGCACGCAGAAGCAGCAGATGGATGCCAGCGTGATGACGGAGCAACAACGGCTCAGATGGTTGGGTGTAAGGCGTCGACGGGCAAAGGCGGTATTCGTCTCAGACCAGAAGACCAAGGAGATTCGAATGCGTTTCTAGCGCGGTCGATCGTGCGCCTCCACGGCTACAGCGGCCAGCAAACTTTCTCAGCGCATGACGGCCGCGGACGGTCGGGTGCTTCCTGTGCTGGTGTCAAATTGTCAATAATGAACTTGCTGGTGCTGACAGGGTGGGAGAGTTGGTGACAGTCTTTGCTGCTGAGCGTGGCGGGGCGTGGCGAGGAAGCAAGGTAGCACAGTCAACCAAGTACAACCAACGATGCAGTCCTGTCAGTTTGAAGACGTGTGGCGCCGATGCCGCCGAGCAGCAGGCCAGCAGCGTGATGAAAGAGGATGCAGATTTCCCACGTGGCTGCCCATGAAGCTACCTGAAGCTAAAAGTTGCATGCATGAGGAGCGGCAACGACTTTTGACGCTGCGTCTGTCGTCCAGCCGTCGCGCGTGGCTCTTACAGTACGCTTGGAAGTGCGTTCTGACTTGGTTGCCAGGGAGTGTTTGCACGACCATGCTGCTGTAATCGCGGCGAGATGTCCGGCCCTCGCCTTCAGCAGTGGCCATGAAAGAAATTTCGTCACGGCTGAAGAGCGATAGCGTGTCGTCCACTCGTCCGGGAGAGCTGGCTGCAAATGTCGAGCTGCGTGAGGAATGTGCGCGGCCTCCATGCGGTGCCCACACGACGCGCCGTTTTCGTCCGGCGATATCTGCGTGAAACAAAGGAAAAACGTGAGCATCGCATGCTGGCGAGCGGGTGCTGCATGCCGTGGGCGAGCCAATGTGCGAGGCGAGGCGAGGCGAGGCGAGGCATGCTGGCGCACACAAACTACGCCGAGGACAATAATAATAATGCTTGTGAGCGTCCGACTCTGTCTTGTCTGATGGCGATGCCGCGATGGTGAGACTGCACCCGCGCAGAGCACGCTAGCCGAGCGGAGCGCAGGGACAGGCAAAGTAGTGGACGCTGGAAAAAGCAGCGACGCAGCGGCGGGCGGCGAGCGGCGGTGGTGAAAGTGCCGGGACAGCACAGCACAGCACAGCACATCGGCAGTGCGCCGGCGCCGGTGACATGTGCCTTCGCGTGCTGCAGGCAGTATGTATGTACGTACAGTATGTATGTATGTAGGATAGGTGTAGCCCAGTACAGCCCCTGCTGGTCCGCTGGTCCGCTGGTGCCCGTCGCCGCCGTGCTTGGACGCTGCCGCGCGGTGCCACCGCATTGGCCGCTGCCCACGAGTCTTATCCTTGCCGTGCCGGCGTGCGCTGCGCCAGATCCGCACAATCTGACCGAGCCAGGTTTGGTGCAGAGCATGGGTGCAGGCTTGCAGGCACATGGGGTCAGGCCCCATCCATCGTGCTTCGCTTGGCCAACACTACGAGCCGCACCCCTGCTAGCAGTGCCTGGCCCACTCATCTGTGGTTACTTGAACACTGCCATGATACCCGCCGGCTCATCATATGCTGGCACCTCCCGCATTCCATATCATCAGCATTCCACCGCACGACGCTGAAAGGAAGCCAAGCCCCACGAGCTCTACGCCTCGCCACGAGTTGATCGCATGCGCCGCCCTTCCTGACGTAACAAGCGACGCTTTCCCATCGCTACACACCTCGACATCGACCTCGACCTCGACGTCCTACGCCGACATCTACTACCCCCACACCTGATAACAGCGCCAAGGGCGAAGCCAGTACGACCGTTGCGGTGCTGCCTGCCCCCATTCCACCACCCACGAGCATTCGACGACGACGACGACAAGGTGGATTCCAGACAGAAACCCGCGGTCGCGACCCACCCTCCCAAGTCGAAGGCACACTCCCGTCTGGCGTCCTTTGGCCGTGCAGCGTATCGTGGGATTGTGCACACGGCAAACGTAGCTCCTTCTCAAGGCGAGACACTGCCGAGAGTGCCTGTCTCGCCTTCGGACGTCGGTTCTCAAGACAAGCGCTCGGGCGCCTCGACGCGGTCCAGCGCTTCGTCTGAGACTGCTCTCACAGAAGACTCCAAGTCTGATCATAAGCCTCTCGACGACCGACCGCCTCGTGAAGACGCCGCGACTTGGCTTGACAACGAAAGGGGGTTCGACCAGGAACACGACACGGAATCTTACGAGAGATTACTTCGCAGGAGTCCACGCATGATGCATCAAACATCGTCAAAGCTGCTCCGCATGACGGACGATGATCGGCCTTACACAAGGGTACGTTTGCTTTGTTCTCCTCGTTGTTTGCCTACTCATTCACAAATGTTTCGGAGATGGCCTATGTGTAAGAATTTTTGTTGCCCACCCCAGAGCGAGTCCAGTCACAGACATCAATCCATTATGGCGCATAGAGATACACTTTCTCGTAAAATGCCTAGCAGTGTCCAAAGTCGACTACCTTACTTACCACGTCGCTTGCAGGATTTCAAGGATCTATTCGCGACGCTCATGGTCAGCCTGCCACTTACGGCCCATCGAGTACGATTCTCGAGATATGAACACACTTTCACGACGGAAGAAGCGATAACGAACCTTGGTTCACTGAAATTTTCACAATCCAACCGCATGCCAGATCCAAGAGACACGTCCAGAATAGTGACCACAACGACCACAACGACCTTCTCTATGGCAAGGGAAATGGCACGCAACACCCTTGGGCGCATGTTGGAGGCACGCTTCATCGAGTCTGTGGACGGTAGAACAGACTTCAGCTCGAGGAGTTCGGTCTGGCAGCTTACCCCCAAAGGCATGCATATTCTGGCGCGATTCTGTCAGAGAAACGGCATCCACCAGCGCCACGTCAACGAGTTATTGGACTCACCGAGGAATATCATGCAATTGGTCATTTTGGAGCGGGATCCGGAGACTGATGCCATCAGCCACGATCAAGCAACGATCGACGTAATCTTCCGACGATTTGCTGGTGACACCGGACCAAACCTCAAATCCACCTCCACCGCATCTGATTCTGACTCCATGAACGACTACGCTACCGGACTTGTGGGAGTGAAGATGCAACGTTCGCGACGAGCGGACAAAGATGCACCCTACGTCTTCACCGGGAAAGCAGCATTCGATTGGCTCATGGACTGTTCTACAACAGTTGCTAAACGCGAAGTCTTCGACCTTGCGAACCTGTTCATCCGAAGTGGGTTCATCGAGCCTGTGGGAGACGAACGACACGGACACGCTAGTTCAACTGGGGCTGCTCCACGGTTCGCAGCATCGAGGACGCAACTCTACGCGGTTACACAAAAAGGGATGCGCGTTGCAGGATGGATCACAAGTCCTAACGGCACTGTCAACGGGGAGGCGACGGTGTCACAAAGGGCACCACAAGGGGCTGTTCGTGACTCCAATACGAACCGTATGACGATCATTCTACGCGACCCAGCACTACGGCTCTTGTTCAGGGAGTACCTTCGAGAAACACACTGCGAGGAGAACTTGGCCTTCTACGTTGAGGTGAAAGCGTTCCTGGATGAGCACCAGCGGGCCAAGCGCGGCTCCTCACCTCCACGGCCGGATGTGATCAGGGAAACCCTCGCCTCGGCGTACAGTCTTTACAACGCCTTCCTTGCTCCTGGCTCTCCATGCGAGCTGAACATCGATCACAACCTTCGAAATGCACTTGCCGGCCGCATGACCCGTGCTGTTGGCGAGGATGAGCAGATGATCCAGAGCCTAGACGAGGTGGCCGTCCTGTTCGACCAAGCGCAAAACAGCGTCTTCAAGCTGATGGCTAGCGTGAGTTTGATTTGACGCAACTTGCGTGACACGAACGATTTACTGACTCGCCAACAGGATTCTGTGCCCAAATTTTCGAGGGAACCCAAGTATGCTTCAATTCTGCGAGAGCGGAATCTAGAAAGCATGCTTGCGGCAACGTCGATCAGCTAGAAATTGAAGCCGAACCAGCTGATACCTTCCGGTTTGACCAAGACCTACCACGTTTTGCAAATCTGTGCAATACTGGCGTCTAAAAGAAAGGCTTTCGTCCCGATACCCTTTGCATGGGACTTGGTTTACTGCTTTGGAGTGTGCAAGCAAGCAAGCAAGCAAGCAAGCAAGCAAGCAAGCAGCAGCGTCTGGCGTTGGGGGATCGAAGCGAAGCGAAGCGTTGATCATGGAGTCACACGCATTGCGTTGGCGTTTTCTTGTTTATTCCTGTTCTTTTGGGTGCGGCGAAGTCATAACCTACAAAGCATTCTAATCAACCTTGCTGGCTGCACTGAAGTTTACAGGTACTGGAAGGTAATCCTGAAGCAGGCTCCGTGTTTCGGGCCTTGGATCTCTGCGCAGTTTGGATACCAAACGATGCAGTAGAGATGGAAAGCATGGGCAAGCATGTGGACTGAGACACTGCCACGACAATCGACTCGGTACTCCTCTGCATAGAGGAGCTTGTACAGTACCACGTTAGACAGTGAACCCGCCAATTGAAGAACCTGCGAAACGCGCTCGCTCATCATTCGATATACCTTCCAATATTTGAATATTATTCGTTGCTAGGTAGGCAGCTGTGGCTCCTCCCGAGTCAGCTGTGTTTACCCGGCGCGTTTGCGTTCGCGTAGATTATTCTACTTGCAGCCTGCCGCGTTTCCTGTGTTGACATCCTCGACTCCGTCTTTCTCCTGTCCATTTTCCTACGATTGCATTGCATTGCATTTGGCGGCGTTTTGGAGTTGTCTCAGCCATGGGTGGCCCACCAGGAGTGAGTAAAATGTGAAGCACAAGTTCTGGCACTGACCTCATCAGTCGCAAGTTGCGCCTCTTCCCACCAACCTACCATTCCGCGTGGTTTCCAAGACCATTGGGTGCGGCGCATATGCTTCGTAGGTGTCCCGAGTGGTATAGATCTTGTATGTGGCCGCTAAACTGCGTAGGATACGAAAAGCAATACCTCAACACAAATCAGGACCTGTCATCGCAGTCAAGTTCATCAACAAAGACCACGCCTTCAAAGCCGGACGATTACGACCCAAACAGCTCCAGATCGAGCTGTCACTCCACAAAAACGTCTCGCCTCATCATAACATCATCAAATACATTCACCATGGCGAAGATGAGCGGTGGGTGTGGCTGGCACTCGAGCTGGCCGAAGGTGGGGATCTGTTCGACAAGATTGAGGCGGACGAAGGAGTGGGAGAGGATGTCGCACACTTCTACTTCACACAGCTCGTGAGCGCGATTAGCTGGTGTCATGGAAAGGGCGTGGCGCATCGAGACATCAAGCCAGAGAATATGCTATTGAGCGCAGAAGGGGATTTGAAACTCGCAGACTTCGGCTTGGCTACACAATTCCTCGAGCCCAAAACCGGCAACAGGAAGGTATGTGGCATGGTCTGTGGCAGTCCACCATACATCGCGCCTGAGATCATTGCAGTCGGCAACACGAACCAGAAGCGCAAGAATGGCGAAGACAAGGTAGGCTACGATCCAGAGATCGCGGATGTCTGGTCGTGCGCGATCGTGCTGTTCGTGTTGCTCATCGGTAACACTCCATGGGACTCACCTGTCATGGAGGAGAGCTATGAATATCACGACTACGTCACCTCGAAGGGCAGGCCAAGCGATGAGCTCTGGCAGAACGTACCTGCAGAATCGCTCAGCCTTGTGCGCGGCATGCTCAACACAGATCCTAAAGATCGCTTCACACTCGACACTGCCAAAAAGCACCCATGGTACACAAGACCGAATGAACACATCAACCACAAGGGGCGAGCAGCCAATCCGGTAGCACTTGCGACGCAGATGCTCGAGTCTCTGCACATCGACTTTGCTGCGCCTGTACAAGCTTCACAGCGAGGGAGGCGTCGGAGACAGTCACAGGGCGATGCTATGGACATCGACGGCGTGCAGCCCGGCCATTTCGCATCTACGCAGCCCGAAACACCTATCGCGGATGTTCCCTTCGACTGGGAAGCACCACCACGGCTAGGAGCTGCAGGAATTTCAGCATCTCAGCCCCTGACTATCCACGACCAAACTGCAGCAGCCGCAACGACGAGTGCGAGAAACGCAGGCGTCGATATACAGGATCTTTTCTCCGAAGATCCATCCATGTCGCAGTTCTCCGCCACGCCTTCCGTGCCATTGACACTAACCCAAGTAGCACGGCAATTCAACCACATCGTGCCAGCGCACTCCTTAGCGCGGTTCATGTCTCTGCTCACGTTCGGACAGCTACTTCCGATGCTTATGTCTGCGCTGCATAGGCTCAATATCCCCGCTGTACCACCTAGTCAGGCGGCTTTAGACGGCCGTGAGCAGACTGTCCCGATACGAATTAAGACTCTGGACGCTAGGCATCAGCTTTTGCAAGGCAATGTGCTCGTCGAGAAGATTCGTCTACAAGGGAATGCTGCCACGGGGACTGGCGGAGTAGAGGTGCTCGAGGTGAGATTTATTAAAGCCAAGGGAGATCCTTTAGAGTGGAGAAGACTGTTCAAGCAGGTTGCAGTTTTATGTAAGGATGGCATTGTTGGTGCTGGGCAGCAGTAATAGGGCGCGGCGCCGGATCGGGAAGACACGCGTCAGGAGGGCCCCAAATCTAATACCGCATGCACGGTGCAGGCTGGGCTAGACCCACATACCGCTAGCCTGCCGCAACGGACTCGGTGAGATGTGGTCGTCCGCTCCGTGGTACGCGTGACCGTAGAGAACGTGATCTCGTCGTCGCCGCGCGTCGCGGTTGCTAGGTCGACGGTAAGGGTAGTAGTAGTAGTAGTAGTAGTAGTATAGTGCGATTCCCGCTAGCATACTAAACATCGAGAATAAGAGGTCGTACAGTCGCAATCTAATAGATTTCGCACTACTTTAATAGATTTTAACGACCCCGCATCTCTACTAATAGATACTATATATGTTACTAAAAATAAAGCTAAAGTTTATTAGCAAAACAGCGGTATAGCGAAATTCGAGGTATAGTTAACGATTATTACTATTTTAATAGCGGTAATATATATTTAAGGGCGGCGGTATATAAGGCATACTATTATAGACCTATATCGCGCTCTAAGGCTTATTCTGCTACCTATTTAACGGTAGAAATGTAGTATACGGCGCTAATAGAGTCGCTATTAGTATATAAGGACTATAAGTTACCTCCGCGGTAGTAACCGCGGAACACGCGTTAGTACTAACTAGAACCGCTAGTATAGGCTTAGGACTAAATATACGCGTATTTGTCGCCTATAGTATTCCTAATAGTATATATAACAGTTCCGCCTCTTTCTTAGCCCTCTTATGCTTCCGGCTCTTGTTCTTACTCTATATCGCGTCTACCGGCGGTAGATTAAGAGGGTAATAATATTGCGATATTACATTGTCGGCAAGTAGCTTCTATAATAGCGCTAGCTTCTTAGAAAGCGTAACTTTACGGTTAGGTCGTTACTCGTTAAAAGCGGCGATAAATAACTCGGTAAACTAGCGCCTTATATCGTTGCCGGCCTCGTAGAAGATACGGACGGCTTCTTATATAATAGTAGCGCGTTTAATATCGTTGTCGTTAAGGCCTTTATCGTCGCACTTCCGCTCGAGTTTAAATATTATCTCGTAGTAGTTAGCTATTATCTTACGGATCTCGAGGCGGTATCTATTATTAGCAACAATTAAGACTAGCGCGTTAACTTAAGTACGCTCTTATTGTCGCGCGCCGCCTGTCTTATAAACCTCGAGCGCGCGGCCTTTAAATATAGCAATCTAGTAGTGCTAGTAGCGCTCTTTAATTATAGTACGCTCGAGTCGAATATAGTATATCTAGAGGCAGGAATATAGAACGCGCTACCTACGGAAGAACCGATAGTTGCAGGTTAGCTAACCGGTAGACTCGTTACTCTTAGTAAGAGCGACTAGGTCGTAGAATACCGTAGCGTTATTCGCGCGATTAATCTAAGCGCTAACTTTCTATTATATAGGCTATAGTAGGCGAGGAAGGTAGGTTCTAAGCTTATCGTCGTCGCCGCGAGCGAGTAGATATATATTAACTAACTACCGGCGCTCGACGAGGTAAGAGCGTAGTTCTTACGCCGTAGAAGCCTTAAAGACCTTTATTGCTATACTAAGTAGTAAATAATCCGCCGCTATAGGCGACTTGCTATCTATTTTAAGGCAACTATAGAAGTTCTCGTTAACGTTAGTTATTGTATTCTGCTCTATAATAGCAGGTGTATTCGTTATACAATAGTAATTTGCCTATAAAGCGATGTCCTTACCTATATCTACTTCTAAATAGCGCTTATTCTTCTTATAATCGGCATCGCGAGGTAGGCTCGAAATAGCGGCTTAAAGTAACTCTTTTACGCCTTCGAGCGACCGACGATAGATAACCGCGGCTTTAATATGTTTACGCGTCTTAGAGTAGGTTTTGCTACTAAAGTAACGGTCGATAGTACGCTGTACGTAGACGTAGCAAAGAAGGTGTTTCGTGCTAGGAAACGCTATTACAATAGCGCGTCGTTCGGCCGCCGAGTCGTTAGTAATAAACTAGATAGGTTTCTAGCTACTCTAGTAATGTATTATGCGAAGAAAAGTAGCGATAATATTACCGTCGTTAGTCGGAGTAAGCATATAAGCTACCGCTCGTGTTATACTATATTTATCCTTAATACAGATCGTATAAAGGTACTAACTAAGACTGTTAGTCTTATAAGTCGCGTCTATAAAGGCGATCGTTTAGTGCTAGCGGAGCAGATCTAGGCCGTTCTATATAGTAAATACGATGCTATAGGCTATTTCGCTATCGATTTGACGCTTTACTAATACTATCTCGCATTTCCGACTAGCTAACGCGTTGAATTAGTAATTGTTATAATAGAAAACAAGAATTAAAACAAAGAGAATCCCGCGGAATCTAAAGTTTAGGGTTCGGGCTTGCCGAGGCGCGCTAGAAGCTAGACCGAGGTGTTGCCGTAGCTTCTAAAATTCTTAATTAGCTCGAAGCTAAGGCTTTGCGGCGCTTCCGCTTTTAAGCGAAGAACTTTAAAATCTTAGATTCTTCGAAATTTAAGGCTTTTAGTCTAGTATTCGTAGGCAACCGAGTCTAATATCTTCCTCTATCGATTTCTATCGATTTAATAAGTTAGATAGACTTCCGCCCTAATCTATTAGTTAATCGGAGTCCGGATACGCGGCCGCGACGGTCCGTATAGCGCAATTCTAACTACCCTCTATAGTCTAGATAATAATATAAATATTAACTTACTTTCTTTAAACTACTATAACAAGTCCTTTTACTATATTTGCTAGGCTAGCAGTCCGCCGCCGAGTTTGCTATCCTTATACGCCTTGCGGAAAGACCGTCCTAAGTTAAGAACATCCTATTTGCGTAAATACCTACCGCTAGCGTCCTTAAAGCGCTAATACGCGACTAGGTCGTACTTAGCCTTTAGTGCGCGATACACCGCCGAAGGACGATAACTATAGCATATCTTATACCCTATAGCACTTAGAAGCGCGCCGTAACGACGAAAGTTATTAAAGTTATCTAGCTAATAGTTAGCGTAATAGTCTTTGCGACTAACGCGTTAAATGCAATAGGACACTACCTCTTCCTTACTAGTCTTCTTATTCTCGCTATAAATACTAACTACCTTTATTGTAATAGGGCATCTACGCGCCGGCTCTATCTTCCGCTCTATCTCCTTTAAATAGCGACTATTCGAAGTATTCGCCTTCTACGCTTCCTTCTTTCGAAAACGGTACGCAAAACGCGTAGTTTCGGTGCTATCGCGCTTAAAATACACCGCCTTATTAATAACCTAGATGTTGTCGATATATAGTTTTAGTATATACTAAGCTTTCGCCGATAATACGAACGAGTCGGACGCGTCGCGTAGGATATATCGCTACCGCTAGTATTTAAGGTCTTCTACGTTAGGAAGGGCGGCGAATATCGAGTCCCCGACTATTTTTAAGATACGGGACTTCGCATTACGACGAGGACGCGTCTCGTAGGAAGAATCGCTCGAAATCGTACTAGAATCGTCGTTTTTATCCCCTTTAGACGCGTCGTTAGTAAAGTCGTCTTCCTAAAGCGCGAAATCGCCCTAGGTAGCTTCCGCTAGCGGGTTCGAGGAAGAGTTAGGTATGTCGTAAGGTAAGGCAACGATATCGAAGAATACTAGCAAGATTAGTAGCAACAACGATTACTAAACTATAGACAGCGATATAGAAAATAACGATTAAAACAATAGAACGCGTCGAGCGGAGGTAGAGTCGGCCGGAGCTTCACCTATTTACCGACACCGCCTGCACGGACCTACGACGCATGCGGTATTAGATTCATGGCCGTTAGGAGTATTGCATAGACATGGCGGTATCGAGTCTTAAGATACTGTACATATGAAGCTCGCGCTCTCCGGTGACCGGGCACGAGGCACGAATCTTTCTACGAATGGGATTGGTCAGAGCGCAGCATTCTTGGATACACAGTAGTGCTGATTGATGCATACACACTGAACAGTTCATGACTAGGATTCTTCAGGTGGAACAAGGACAGCTACCTCTCGTGACGAAGAGTACTTCACGTCTTCGGCAAATCACGAGGGGACTCCCAAACACTTCCTTCTACTTAGGCACACATTCACTTTCGTTCCTGCGTCCAATACCGACATTGGAAGATCCTCATCATCACGGTCTCACCAAGATGTACCGGCTCGGATACATGAAATCTCCACGTGGTATGAGAAAGTATCCGAGCAGCGTTCGAAACGAAGCCGGGGAAGTGATTCGCGGGAATGGAAGTAGCGGCTTTGGTTGAATATCAAGCGTCAGAACCCCTCGAGGCTCTCAAGGCTCGGCATGTACATTTCTGCTGATGATTCTGGTTCTCTGTGCCCCACGGCCCCCACCTAACTACTAGTCTGCTAGTCTGCTAACCATCCTAGTCGAAAACGTGCGCGGGCGTGAGCTGCACTGGCATTGTCTGCGAGGGGTGATGCGGAAGCTTCTGGCATCCGGGGGACACAAGATGGTTGCCAGACCATGTGAGGAGCTGCGGTCAGAGGAGGGGGGGGGGGGGGGGGGCAAAATGCAAGAAACCAATTTTCGGAGAAAGGAGGTAAAAACCAGGTAAGGGCTCTTCATGCGTTCGGGCGATCTGGAGTGGTGGAAAGCTTTTTTCCTGCAAAAGCTCGTTCGTACATAGGATCTCACAGCCTGATGATTGTAGAACTATCCGACGCAAGTCCTGCACCTGACCGGAGCTATTCTAGGGTGAGACGATCTCGACTTTGGCCTGTCATCAATCTCCAAACGTTGAGTTCTGCGAATCTTCTCTGCGGCAATCCTGGTCATGAGCGTTGTCTTGTGACAAGCTTTGCCACCGACCGATCCGTTTACCGTGCCTAGTCTTGACAAGGTGAGGCTGTGACAATATTTATGGCCGGAAGTCTATATGTACAAGATCAGGCAGGCCGGGTATTAAGGATGGGTTTTAGGGCATCCATGGAAGTTTCGAGTCCTTGAATGACACGTGAAGTTCGAGCTCGAGGTATGGCCCTCTCATTATTAGGCACGAAGCATACCCATGGTTGATCGATTTCGGCGAAGCTTGCATACGAGGCATTATTGCGAGTTTGGGCAAGGCGAGCGCTCGATTCTCGTGGATTTCTCGCAGATTCTTCGCAGTCGGCAATGCCCTCGAGCAATTCTGTGTGCACTGAAAGACCCCAATGATTGGGCAAGTTGGTGCTGCCAAATGCTGATTATCACACGTGCAATAAAGCTTCTCTCGTGCAGCTCCTATTCGTGGTTTTCATCGCATGATGATGCATGAATCAGCCTTGTTATACAGCAGGCGGTGCAACAAGCATAACGCAGTACATATGCCACGCGTATACGTCTTGGCGAAGACCATTCTTCTCAGAAGCACGCACGTTGCTCTGCACAGCCTCATTCCAGAGCCTGCCCGTACACGCGTCAGACAGCGCATTATTATTATTGATGAGAGTGTAGCGAGAACGGGACGCTCAGTTCCAAGGCTGATGCTCGTCGGTATCCTCCATGGCCATGCCGGCAAGTGAAGTATCTTAAGAATTGTCATACCCTGTGGAACGGCCTCCGAGCCCTGCGACTGCTGTTTTATCCAATGGGAGAAGCAGATTATGCCTGTATTAAGTTACAATCTACCACTCGGGCGGCGGACGCTACAAGTCGGCTTGACAGAGGGTGTAAGCACTGTCTCCTCCTTCGACCGGTGAATCTTCGCTGGTGTGAGGGACATACGACGAAGACGGTTTTTCGGCTCGCTCGATAACCGGGACAGACCGATAGAATAGCCTTCAGTGGAAAAATGCCATCTCGGAAAGTAGAATCTGCGAATCTGCGAAGGCACGTGTCGGTCGCCTCGTTGTGACATGGATAGTCATTGTCTCAGGTGCTAGTTCCTTGCCCTCACGAAATTCTACGACACTGGTAAGTTATATTATTATGAGCGTCATCACATTCAAGCATGTGATGCTACGGTGAACGACGTGTTAGCCATGTCGACACGATCAACCGGCTTCGAAGCTTATCGCAATGGTGAGGAGGCTTCGGAACCCGAACTCAGAACTCGGATGAGAAGCACGCGGCGGCAGTGATGATCTCGACATCGTGATGCATCGCTTTTTCTTTACCGAAATCGGGATGAGCGGTTGCGAAGTGGTGGGCGATGAAGAACAGGCAAGTATTCTGCCGATTGGCATCCATGAACTCGGTCCAAATAATGCGTGTGATTCTACGACTCACGCCTACGCTGTATTCTACATCCACTTTCATCTCAATGATCAGTCGTCAGTAGATCCATATTCTACGATTCTCTCTGTAATACACTTGACGACTGCGGGACTCTGATGATTACATTTTCATTCATCCATCCAACGCCGATCAGTCCCAGCCAGAATCACCCGATAGTCATCCAAAAGATCTTTCACCTGGCACCAGGTGAACCTATTTCTTGTCATGTAGACAACACGGCCCATCGCAACCATCGTCATCCTCTCTATCTCAGCGTGTTCGCGACGCAGCCGATGCGAGGATGTGGTGGGATCATCGCTGCTGCTGCAAGGCCCCGGGTCACCGCTCTCCTTCCAGCAGTCGAGTGGGGTTCTGGCGAAACAAGGGACGAGGCCTTGGTGCATGTACTTCAAATGTCGAAGAAAGTTGTTCCAGTTGGGCTGAGGATTCTTACGGCCAGTCTTCCCGTCCACGGCGATCATGTAGAAGAAGACTTTCTTGCCCCAAGGTTTATTCGAGTCATCTTCCAGACCCATCCTCCGGAGGCTTCGGATCCATCGCATCAGTAAAGCTGGGCTGTAGTCAGGGAGATGGATATCGAAGCGGTTCTCATAGTAGTACATCGGTATGGTTTCGCGGCGGATGGCTCGAGAGACGTCCAGGAGCCCTGGTCGGCGATAGTTTGGTGCTGTGACGTTGATATCGTCATCGTGACTTTGTAACAGGACAAGTCGATAGATTCGATTCTTGAATTTTTCGGGCAAGTTGGTGAGCGATGGCTTCTTGCTCTTGTCGGGGAGGTCGTCAGTGTTGTGGGAATCGACACCGTCCAGGAGCACGCTTGCGACAGCGTCGCAGAGGTATCCTGACGTCTTTGCGCTCAATGAGCTACGGGAAAGAGCGTTGGCGAAGGTTGACAGCGCGCGTGAGTCTCTACGGCCTTGCAAGGGAGCCGTGGACGAGTCTGTAGACTCGCTCCTGGCAGGTGGACGCAATGCCATGGCTGGGGCTCTCTGGTGGTGGTCAAGCAGACGCCTGATTCGAAAGCAAGGTCGATGAGAACCAAATGCGCCAACTTCAACCCACTTACATTGACTTCGCAACCTACCAAACTTGAGCTCTCGCCTTGGCAAGCACTTCAAACCCGTGAAGTCCAAATAGCACAGCGTCATCTCGAGACGTGCGATACTGAATACCTGTCCCTGGAGCGGCGTCACGCTCGACTTCCTGTCTCACATTTTGCTCTCTTTCTTCTCGGCCTTGCCTTTAAACGCTGCGATCTTGCCAATCGTCTCTGGATCATTCAATCTCACTTTCAGGACAGCTGCCTCCCTCGCACCAGCTTCCCTCTGCTCCCCAATCTCTGTCGGCCTGCTAACTAGACCTTTCGCCAATCGCAAACTCTCTGCATTGTAGCCTCCAATCCTCTCCGCAATGCCCTTTACTCTCCCAAGAAACTCTTCAACTCCGATGCCATCTTCCTTCTTCCCAAGCACCTGCGTCACGAAGCCAGACACCCACATCTCCTCCGCACTCACCCTTTCACCCGCAATCAACAACCTATTAGCCCTCATCTTCCCCATAACTTTCGGGAAACTCCAACTGCTTCCTCCTTCGGGCGCGAAACCTAACGGCATAAATGGAGTCTGGAAGAAAGCTTCCGCATGTGCGTATACGAGATCGAAGTTCCAGAGTTGCGTACAGCCCCAGCCTATAGCCGCGCCATGAACGGCTGCGATCAAGATTTTGGGATAGCCCTGAAGGACTTCGCCTAAAGAGGATCCGGCTGCGATCTCTTGCTCGATCGTTGGGCCGCCTGAGCGTGGATCTGAAAGGACTTTTCCGGAGCAGAAGTGACGGCCTTTACCTGTTCTAAGCAACGCATGATGTCAGGAGAGCTTCAAGGGTTGTCGGTGGAGAGAACTTACACAACGATAACTTTGACGTTCTTCTCCTCTTTGGCCCAGAGCAAAGCATCTCGAAGATCATAGTACTGCTGTAGTGTGAAAGCATTGGAAATATGTGGTTGATTGTAGCTGAAGAGAACGGCATGTTGAGAGATGGGTTCGATGAGGACAGTGTGGAGGCTGGAAGGTGGTGGTGCCATGTTTGCTGGTAATAGGAGCCTTTACTGTCATGTCTGCACTTGCTCATAGATCATATCAATGATCATAGGGAGTCCTGAGCTCGACTCGTACCAAGCATGTCGTTCGTGTGGCACGGTGAGGAGGCTTCATGCAGGTACATCGGGACTCGGCTACATCCCCACATGAGATTTTGGTAGGCCTAGGTCGATGAGATGGCCATGGTGATATATCTTGATTGGCGTTCCCAATCACGGACTGCTGGTCTGGGTTTCGTGGTAGTCTGCAAAAAATGCCTTGGCTCAGTAAGTGGTCGTATCCACTTCCCGAGGAAGATCTCCTCACATGGACGTTCGATCATTGCAATTACGACAAGAACACGCCAGTAAGCACTGAATCTCGTAGCAACGCAGCTCTGGAATGCTCATGCTTACCAGATTTACATCGACCTCGAAAACCCCTCTCGCACGCTATCATGGACACAAAGCCGGACCGTCGTCCGACAGCTTATCGCAGGCTTCCATGCAGCCGGTCTTAGACCAGGCGACTGCGTGATGATAGCTTCATTCAACGACATAATGTACTGCATGCTCTTTCTGGCTCTCATAGGCGCAGGCGGAATATTCACTGGCTCAAATCCAGCTTACACGCAGTATGAAATTGCCCATCACGCCAAGACCGCGAAAGTGAAGTACATCTTGGTCGAGCCCGAACTACTTCCTCAGATTTTGAAGGGTAGCGAGAACTTGGTCGACAGGAAGGATATATTCATCTTCAATATTCGTGGTCAAGCTTGTCCGGAAGGCTTCAGGTCGTGGGAATGGCTTCTCGAACATGGCGAGACAGACTGGATCCGATTCAATGGCAAGGATCAATGCAGAAGAACCGCCATGGCTCGCCTTACAACTTCAGGAACGACTGGACCTCCGAAGATGGCTGTGCAGAGCCATTACAATGCTACATCGTGGTTCACGATGGCTTCTGAGATTTCCGTCCCACCTTGGCAGATTCGCAACTTGTTTCCACTGCCACTGTTCCATGTGGCGACAGTGCCAGCAGTACACTGTGGTCCGCTGAGGAGAGGGAATATAGCGTACATCATGAGGCGCTTTGAGCTTGAATCGTTCTTGGCTGCTGTGGAGAAGCATAAGATTTCTTTACTAGGTATGGTGCCCCCGCTTGTGATTGCGATCATCAACAGTCCGCTTCGTCACAAGTACTCTTTGAGAAGCGTGCGGAGAATAGGTTGTGGTGCAGCACCTCTGGATAAGGATTCTGGTGAAAAGTTGAAAGACCTTTGCGCGCCAGGTTGTACTTTCACGCAAGTGCTGGGATCCACGGAGACAACTGGGGTGTTCACGCTCTTCTATTATCCTGATGAGGATGATACAGGTAGCGTTGGAAATACTTGGTTTCCGAACTCGGACGTAAAGCTGATTGACGACGATGGGAATGACGTGACCGATTACGACGTGCAAGGTGAGCTCTGCGTGCGAGGACCGAGCATCATCGATGGCTACTTCGAGAATCAAAAGGCGAACGAAGATTCCTGGGATGAGGATGGCTTCTACAAAACTGGCGACATCGTGTACTGCGATGGCAAGACCAAGAAGTGGTACATTGTAGACCGAAAGAAGGTACAATTGCCCGCTTGACTTGTTCAATGCAGCCTGCTGACACTTACACCAGGAATTGATCAAAGTACGTGGCTTTCAGGTAGCACCGCCAGAAGTGGAAGGAGTTCTTTTGAGCCATCCAGATATCATTGACGTTGCCGTGATTGGCTTGCCTGCGCCTGCGAACTCCGATGCCGAACGACCGCGAGCATATGTTGTACGAGCACCTGGATCCCAAATCACGGAAGACGATGTCCACAAGCTTGTCGCAGAGCGCCTTGCCGCGTACAAGAAGCTCACTGGCGGCGTCAAATTTGTACAAGAGGTGCCCAAGAGCGCCAGCGGTAAAATTTTGAAGCGTGTTCTACGTGAAGAAGCGCAGAAGGAGCTGGCTTCTGGGGCTGGGTGGATGCGTCCAAAATTATGATTCGCCTTCGACCGTATTTGTCAGCTCTGGCGGCGAGGTAGACTCCTAAAACAGGCTGTGACTGAGGTCACCGTCGGATCGTGAATTGCGTTGCTGGAACTACCAGCTAGATATCGTGTTCTCATCTAGCCACTAGGCTGACTGGCTGTTCATGGCTATCATTCTTTGTGCTGCCATTTGCGCCGACCATTCGACCTCCTTCTCTACGCTTGACTCGACACCACAAACCGACCTCTTTGTCCATGATGAACTGCCAGATGACACCAGACCAGCTGTAATGGCAAGGCAAATCCTTGTAGAACTCATTCGCAATCTGGTTGAGCTTCCATAGCCTGGTCCATGGAATTGCAGGGAAGTCGTGGTGTTCGTTGTGCAGGCCAACGTTATAGGTGACCACGTTGAGAATACCATAATATGAGTACGTCTCAGGTGGAGGAGCATGCTTAGCAGCCTCCGATGACTTGGCCTCGAGATTCCGGCTGTGCTGCGAGAACACGTAGTGCTCAGCAATGAAGTGTCCCGCGCAAGGATGTAGTGACCCCGCCAGGAAAGAGCTCATGATGAAGTATCCCAACGCCTTGCCGCCAAAGTATTGGACAATCAAGTAGTCGAAAAGGAGCTGTGCAGCAACATTGAACGCGTGAATCTTGGTCAATGGTAGTTTATAGACCATCATTGGGCGCAGAGCGTAGAACAGGATCTGGAAGGTGGCGAAAAAGGCCTTCCCAGCAACCGAATCCAAAAACCATGCCTCGAGCGCTGTAGGTAGATCTGTGTCCAAACCATCCACTCCCAAGCTCTTGTGGTGGGTCAAGTGATACGGTCGGAAGGAGGCAGAATACGGGATTCCGATGGGAAGGTTGGCAACTACGGCGAAGAGTCGGTTGGCCAGTGGCGACTTGAAAGCCAGATTGTGTGATATCTCGTGGATCGCAAGGAAAAGGTTCTGGTTTGCTGTTGCCCCCACGACATAGGCTGTAAGAAAGAAAGGCCAAGAGAATAGTGGAGTGTTCCTCAAGGCACAAGCGCAGGCAATTTGAAGTCCCACGACTGCGAGAACAAGAGGAATTGTCAATGGCTCGGGGCCGCAAAGCTTCAGGACCTCTGGGTGTGCCTTGATGATTGCCTGTCTTCTCGTCTTGTGTGGTTCCTCGGTGTATGCCCAAAAGAAATCGTTGGAACAATCGCTCTGGCTGTCAGATGAGACCTGCTCTTTCTTCGTTCTGTCGTGTCGATTCGTGGCCGGAGCCGGAGCCGGAGCCGGAGCGCTTTGCACGGTGGCTGTGGCTGTGGCGGTGGCGGTGGCGGTAGTGACTGACGGAGCCGACATCTTGACTGCTGCTTGTCGGCTGTGATGTTGATTGAATGGCAGTGGGAAAGAGAAAGGAGAGAGTCGTTTGCATATCTCTCGAATCCAAACCGAGTCCGACATGCCAAGAGGATCCTGGACCCTGACCGCGATTGCCCCACTTCACTGGACGCGTGGCGCCATTGGTTGGCTGATGCCCCTCCTCGCCTCGCCCCTCCCGAACCACTCACTCACTTCTCGGATAGAGACTCAACATGGCCACTACAGAGGAAAGATTGAAGAATGACTGTCTTCTTTGCCGAAGTACAGCACATGCCTACGGAGGCAGAGCCTGAAGCCAGTACCGGCCGCCCTCCCAAGCACAAAATGTGGGATTCTCTCACAACAATTTTGGAGACGCCAGAACAATCTCAGGGCACACACAACTTGCGAGCGCGCGCAACAAACTGCTTGTCCTCCTCCTCGTGAACTCGATAATAAATGATTGGCTCCGCAGGACACTTGAAATGCTAGGGAATGCGAGGTCAAATCTTTAGCATGCTCATCTACACGTCTTCGCTATAGCTAATGACCTATACCCCGTCGACTATCAGTCTTGAAGGCCACTGCCACGTATACGGTACCGCAATAAGCGAGAGCATTGTGGCTTAACAGCATCACTTAGGAGGGTGCATTGATGCCTGCTTCAAAAAAATTTCGCTATAAATACGGCATCAAGACTAACAGGGGCGGCGCATAGTACCGGGATTCAAGACATCTCAACTCAGGGACCCTAAGTAATGGATCCTGTGGGCGATTTTCGAAAAATCGTATATGCTGTTGTAGATCTGGTCGAGGTTGATCGTCAAAGTGTAGTATGGAACCGAGCAGATATCATCTGTCTTGCCTCGACCTCATGAGATCGCCGTAACACAATCTATACTCTGTGAAGACCCCGGTATTCACTTATACAAAGTCTCATAGATCGTCTTTCGCTCTTCATGGGGCTCTGATGCTGGGACGTGCATCCGTCCCGCAGTCGCGCTCAAAGCCGCCTCGACCATGTCTACAACGTAGCCGTCGAACTCCTGCGCCTGAATGCTGCCAACACGGTCCTTAGCGAATGTCATAAGCCTCTGTGCCAAGAAGCGCGACAACAGAGCACGCGTTATCGGAAAGTTGTCTGGTAGAATCTTCATGGCATGCAGCATCTGGAACAAAAGAGAGACGGCCAGAGGATGATGGCGCAAGTCGAACTCGGCATTTGCTGCAAGGTCCAAGTCAGCACAGGATTCCAATTCCAACTTTGAATTTTTGAGCTTACCCAAAGTAACGAAAAATCTCTTCGCCCACCAGGCCCAGAAATCGACGACAGCGTGCTGATTGATAACGCATGCTTGACGTTGTGCTTCCTCATTCACCACAGTTCCGGGTCTGAATAATGCATCGTATCCTGGGTACTCGAAGTCGAGGAAGAGATTAAGCGCTTCGTAAGCAGTAGTACGCTCTCTCAGCTGCCTGATCAATGGTCGAGTGAAGTATGCTAATGCATGGGCATTCTGGTCAAGAAAACCGGGCCCAAACTCTTGCAACAGTCCTTGTAAATCTGGAGCATTAGACGAGTCGCGGAGATTCACGGAATCCACGTAAACAGTGGGCTCGTTTGTGCTTTCTTCTTCCTTCAGCTCGAATAAGACTTTTCGACACTCGGGACAGGTGTTTGCTGAGGCGAGCCACTCGCGAGCACATCCTTCGCAGATGATGTGTCGGTCGTGCAAGATGACTGCGCGAGAAGGGATATCTTCAGCTTGAGGGGAGATTGCGTCGCCAGCTTCCGACGTGAGTGGCAGGAAATGCATATCTTGCATGCAGGCATGGCACTCTATATCGTCATGATCTGAGGTAGAGGCTGTTGCTGGTTTCAAATTCCGAAGAAACTCTTCGCGAGATACAGTTGTATCAGCGGACGATTCCATAGTCGCTGAAATCCGATAGCCAGGCCTTGGAAGACTGTGTGTATATTCTGATTGCTTGAGTTTGCTGTTTGTTGTGTATTCCTGTGAATATAAAATCGCAGCTGAAGATCAAAACCTTCTTGAAACAGTAAAGAGAAGATCGATGGTGAAGAGCAAGAAGGGTCGTAGACAGGCCTGTAGCTTTTATAGACAGATTTAGTCGAGCGAGGACATGTGTTTCTTTTGCATTTGCTTGAGCCTATAGCGTTGCAGTTCATTTTCATGACCAGCTTTTTGTCCTCAGTCGCCAAGACACAGCCTGACACTTGGCGTTGCGAAGGAATAACACATCACAACATTGCCGTGTGGTCTGCAATACATTGCTTCCCGTGGAGATGAAAAGAGATTTGATGTTACCGGTATTCAATAAGTCTCGGATTCTGCCTCGATATCGATAGGGTCGTGCTTTTGTGACATCCCAGAAGGGGCCTTCGATTATGCCGCGCACGTAAATGGATGATAGCTGACACTTCCAGCTCGCACCATGCTAAGAATACTTCCATATAGACCGATGACCACCAGGAAGCAGGAGAGAACGACGAAGAACCAGCACGTTGCCCATACCACGACTATTATGCCATCGGCACCTGGAGGAAACTTAAAGCATTTCCACCAGCGACCTGATTCCGGTGCCTAGGCAACAGAGTCAGCCGAGCATTTCTCATCTGGGGAAGCATCGCTTACCAAGCACTGTGCCTTCTCCGAGTGCGCACCGTTCTCGCTTTTGACCTCCTCCGCCTGTTCAGCTCTCGCGTGGCTTCTCGCCATCAGATTATCCCTAATTTGGCACAGACAGTACCACGCAGGCAGACCAAGACATATCCACGTTCCAGAAATCGCTCCTATCAGCGCCAAAAGCGGACTGAAGAACGGTAGGACGTTTGCTAAGACAAAAGCCAGAATCCACAGGAAAGCGACTATGATGGCCCACGTGCTTCTTGATCTCCAGCTTTGCTCGTACACAACATCTGGTTGATGTCTAACTTTGTCCCACCAAAAGCGATGCACGTTCTTACATGCCAGATACGCTGCGATGACTCCAGCAACGACGATCGTGGGAGTCGCAATGCCGTAAGATAGTTTCCTGATCAAAGAACCTGCTGAGCCTAGTGCTGGAGATGCCACGTCTTGTCCTGCGTACCAGTAGATGACGATGCCCACTACGATATACATGCTAACCATAATGATGTTGGTAGCTACGAGAGCTTTTGGAAAGTCTCGTGGCCTTTCCATCTCCTCCATGACATGGAAATAGGCAAGACTTCCCGCAAACGAGACCAGAATGTTGCTGATTGCCAGAGACCAGTCGGCGAAGTCGGTCACATTTACGGGTGGCGATGCGCGTGCAGAGCCCACACCTGGCTTCTCGATCGCGATTGCAATCAGTGCTATCATGGTTGCGGTGATGATGGAACAGCAGGATACCAGTGATAGCCACGACTGCGACTTGAGCGTCCTTGGAAGTGTACAAGTCAGGCAAATGATCAGGCCAATGAGTTTGAAGACCACCGTGCACTTCCACATGTCATGGCCTGCAATAGCATGGGCTTCCGTGCTGAATGTCAAGATATGCGCTGCCATTACGAAGACCAGGAGAAGCATATTCAGCGTCTCCACAACCACGGCACCAGCAGGTCCTGCGACCATCCTTGCGGCATCTGCGAATCCCTTAAGCTTCGGGTATTGGATTTTGAGCCTGTAGAGCATGAAGCTAGCGCCTGTAGTAATGACCGAGAAGAATAGAATCATGATGGCACCAAGAATCATTCCAAGATCAGCGACCGCAGCAGGTAACGATAGGATTCCGAGTGAGATAGTCTCGGCAATGAGGACGAAGACGGCCTGGATCCATGATATCTTCTTCCTCCGCAAGTCGTGAATAGAGCCTTCCGCAGGACTCTTCGTGTGTTCGAGATCTTGAGATGATCCGTTCTCGATAGTTATTTCATCACTCTGGTGCGATGAAGGCTCTTGCGGCGGGCCCATAGCGCCTCAGGTTCGCGAAAGTGATGGGAATGTTAATTGTGCCTCGAAAGAAACATAAGAAGCTGTTGCGTCTTGACTACAGCTGCTAGATTTTGTGGCAAGCGTCTGTGTGTCTGACCGACGTCGGTGCCTCCACGTAGGTCCTACGTCGCCAGTGTTGGAGCCATTTAGTCATAACCCGAGGATGCACCGGGAAGTTGGGAATTTTTCGAATGTGCGAACCTAACAGCAAAAAGCCATTACTACTTACGCTTGGCATGTATCCATGTTTCGCAAAGAGTCTCCGCTGTTGAGAGCTTTGCAAGAACCATGACCATGGGAGGGTGCGGAGTATCCGCTTTTGCATCTTGCTGTACCACTAAGCTGGTATGGAGTAGGCGCGGGTGTGGATGGAGAACGATTGACTGCCACGTGCTTCTTTCCAGTACAGTACAGTACGAGATCCGGTAGCAGTACAAACTCGCGCAGGAATCGACAGGTCGGGCGGCTTTCTTTCGATACGAGAATTCTCCTCTGGGGCAATGTGTATAGCGAGATGGCCGCCGCCGTGGCTGGTAACACAGGGCGTCAGTGGCATTCTTTTCTGGTAGCTCAAAGAGGATCTGTATACCGAACCTCACTGCTGTCCCTTTGACCAACATCGCCGGTCGGGTGTCATATCCGGAGATGAAGGCAGAAAGGCCTCATAAAGAGCGTTCACGGCTTCGGCTTGCGATGCTGTTCGGTCCATAGCAGGCCACAATGAGCGAAGGACGGAGTTGCTCCTCGTCAAGCGGTGCTCTCACGAGAAAAGCGGGTCGCCGGGCGTCTCGCGCTACTAGGGATGTTGGAATACAGACTTCCGGAAATTCGGCCCTTGTACATAGTGTATTATACCTGCGAACACCTGTATATGCAATCGCTATATAACTTATTAGACAAAGCGTAACTAAGCATTACTAAAGTAGAAAGTTAGCGTTACTAAGGCTATAGACTACTATATAGTATAACTAGCTAAATATCTACGATTCCTTCGACCTAAGAGCCTCTCGTTAACTCTCAAATAGCCGATACTTCTGCCTACTAAGTCTATATATTATTATCTAGACCTAGAGTATATAGTAGCTCCTATAAGGCAGTATTAAACCTAGTAGTACTATTAGCCTTCTATACCTCCTATATAGTAATAGCCGCTAAAGGAGTAAAGACCTCTCGTAATAGATCTTATAGTATACTATAGAAGTCGTTAGTATTGTATTCGCTAGTGCCGCTATTAAGTCTATTATTCATGCGTAGATTCTAATAGTAATAGACTAGTATCTCTATATACTCGTAAGATAGGCGGTTATAGCGGAGACTATAGAATAGTATAGACAAATCTATAAGCTAACTAGTTGCGCTTAGTAGCGCTAGTTATTAGACAGATTAATAGAGATAGTATATATAACTTAGCGAGGTTATAATACTCGCCTTTAATAAGATTATACTATAACTATAACAGGGTTATATCCTTTACTAACTACTAGATAATATTATTACTAAACAAGCCGCTACGGTTACGTAGAGTATAGAGATTAGCAAGCAATAGTGCCGCTCTATCTTTAATCTCGGAGGTAGACTTAGTAACGTATTTAAAGCTAGGCCGCGGCTATTACGGCCCTACTAAGTATAGCATTCGGCAAGATAACTAGTAAGTCTATAGACCTCGTCGTTACTAGCTAGAATAGCCTATTTATCCGGATCTTATCGCTCTCGAGCGTTAGCGAGGTACGCTATAAGTATTAGGGGATAGTATAGCTTATTATATTAAATACTAATTATTTCGGCAATAATATTTATTAGAATAAAGTCGTTAACAAAGAACTAGTTCTAGGGCTATCTATAGTTATAGTTTAGGCTATAGTAATTAGAGCCCTATAATAGAGGCCATTTTGAAAATAAAGTATATTATAACTTAAAAATAAAGTATATTATAATATACTTATTATATTATTAAGAAATAGCATAATAATATAATAACTTTATTCTAGAATAAATAAATATATTTATTCTAAAATAATATATTATTATATTACTCTAAGATACTATTATAAATTAATACATTTATTATTAATATATACTATTATACTTTTACTACCGTCTATATAGTTATATTATTATATATAATTCTTAACTAATAAAAAGAGCGTAATATATATCTATAGCTTCGCTTTTTTAACTATATATAATTTTTTTAATAGTTTATCTATTAAACCTATAAAGATATTAACTTCTATAAGAACCTACTATTAGAATTTTAAAAATTAATATCTCTATAGTTTTACTAGATATATCTATAGTAAATATATTAATATATTCTAGAAAAATCAATACTAGGACTCGTATAGAATACAATTTACTATACTAAATAGTATAATAGCAATTACTATAGTAATAGTAATATTACTATAGTAATTACTATTACTATTACTATTACTATTACTATAGAATTCTCTATAGGATTACTATTACTATCACTATCGCCAATTTGACTTTACTATTTACTATTTACTATTACTATTACAATTACTAAGGTTTTTACATCTCTGACGGCAACGAGCTTGGAGCTTCTCTTCCCGACTTCCAACACAGTGTGATGGTCGCATAGCTTAACTCAGTATTATTGTCTTGCCCAGGATGCCGCTCCGACCCCTATCATAATTGACGCTACGACGGACGTGAACGTGATGACACTACTCTCCGTGCGCGTAGTCTTGTTTACTGTCTCTATCTCTGCATCAACCTTGCCCTGCCGTACGCGCGCCTCACTCTCACTACTACTATCCTACTACCCCACTCCCAACTTCCGAATATCTTGCCCTCGCCCACTTCCACCATGCCAGTAGAACTCCGCAAGAGAAAGGAGGCTCCACCTCCACCTCCACCCGCAAAGAAACGCGCCCCATCCAAGTCCAAGGACAAGAAGGACGCGCCTGCGAAACCATCTAAAGCCGCCGCGGCCAAAGCTCCAGAGAATGCTGTTGTAGCTGAGGATGCGCCGAAAGCAGCAGCAGAAGCGCCTGCAACCAAAGGCGGCGCGCCAAAAGTCGGCGGCGCGCCAAAAGTCGGCGACGCAATCGCGCTCAAAGACTTCGGCGGAGAAATCCAAGACAATGACGGCAAGAAAGTGACATTGGCTAAATTGGTCGAAGAAAGCAAGGCTGGCGTGGTACTCTTCACGTATCCCAAAGCCTCGACGCCAGGATGTACGTATCGCATCGTATCCGCACATACGTGAGTTGACTTTCCTGCTAAACTCTCCTTCTTCCACAGGCACAGCCCAAGCCTGCCTCTTCCGCGACTCCTACACATCTCTAACCTCCACCGGCCTCTCAATCTACGGCCTCTCCACCGACTCCCCAAAAGCCAACACAACGTTCAAAGACAAGCAAAAGTTGCCGTATCCATTGCTATGCGATCCTAGCGCGACATTGATCGGTGCGATTGGCATGAAGAAAGCGCCAAAGGGAACGACGAGGGGTGTGTTTGTTGTGGATAAGAGTGGGAAAGTACTGGCTGCTGAGCCTGGTGGACCGGCGCCGACGGTGGAGGTTGTGAAGAAAGTAGTTGCGAGTCTTGGTGGTGATGCGGGTGCTGCTGGTGTGAAGAAGGCTGAGGAGACTGCTAAGGCGGAATAAGCTTGGTGCTTTCGGTATGGCATGACCATCGTGCAGCTGTTTCATTGGTCGTGCCATGGATAAGTTGACTTGTAGTGTAGTGTGTAGTAAGGCGCATACTGAAATGAAACCACTTTCCAAAGTCTTCGCATTCTTCTCGTACACTGTACATAACGGTCGCATACCCTCAATTCAAGCGCTTACAGGGAGTAGAAACACTTTCCTTCCCTCGACTCTGCTTCGTATGCCGAACTCCTCTTTGATGCAACTGGCTCAAGTGAATCAGAGGCTACTACAGCGCGTCGCACTATTTTATATCGTGCATTCGGCTCTTTTATATGATAGTCTTCCTAAGCATTGGCGGGCGACTGCTTGCTAATTGTAGGGTTGCGGCCGGAGATGAGCTTCGCATCCGAATGAAGAATCTCATCCGGCTTGTCTGTAGATTGAAATTGATTAGCAGTCATTCCATCTGCTTGGACGTCGACACTACTCACCATGTCGAGCGTAAAGCCCGTACTCCTCATCCTCATACTTGCCAACCTTGCCCTTCTCCACATCATCTCTCGTAAGATTGAGCTTACTCTTTGGCAGACCCATCGAACCCAAAAAGGTGACGGCATCCTTCCATTCCTGCTGCTTCCTCGCGCGACTCCATTTCAGCTCTTCTGCCATCAGGTCAATGACTTTGGGAAGAGCCTCAAGAGCAGCTTGTGCGTTGAGGAAGGCAAGACGTGTTCGTCGTGCAAGTACATCCACAGCACTTTGAGCGTATTCGTGTCGGACAGCATATCGTACTTCGCCATCAACGTATGGGTATAGTTTCGAGATACGCTCGCCACGCACGGGGAATCGGTCCTCCGTTGGAGCGCAGAGTGCAGCGACCGTCCATGCTCGGTCACCGTAGTCTACGCACAGGTGCTTGGCAACTTCTGTCTCGAGGCCGTAATGTTGGATGATGTTGATGAAGAGGGTCTTGGAGAAACCATGAGCACCAATCAGGCGAAGGGCATGCGTCTCACACGACCCATCAAACTTGATGTTCTCATGGAAGTTCTCGACTCCTGACACAAGTGGTGGGTTGGAGATGCCCTTCGGCTGCAGCTTAAATTCTCGAATGGCTTCATCGACAGCCTCCTCGGCCATTTGACGATACGTTGTCCATTTACCGCCGGAGATCGTGACAAGACCAGATTCGGAAGTGGTGACAAGGTGGTTACGGACAAGACCTTCGGATTTGGCTTTCTTAGGATCGCGCACCAGAGGTCTGATACCAGACCAAGCTGCAAGAACATCGCCACGGCGGACATTGATTTCTGGTTGCAAGTAGTTCTGTACTTCTTTCAAGATCCAATTGATTTCTTCTTCTTGGGCAACAGGGTTTGGCTGGATCTCGCAGGCTTTGTCGGTCGTGCCAGCAATCGTGTTGCCTTGCCATGGCAGAAAGAAGATGACACGACCGTCTGAAGTGTGTGGATCGATCAATCCCATGTTCGAAGGAGCGTAGTAACCAGGGAGAATAACGTGAACACCAGAGCTTGGAGCGACAATTTCAGGCGCAGTCTGATCATCCATCTTGCGAATAGCGTCTGTGAATGGTCCAGTTGCGTTAATGATACCCTTAGCCTTGATGGAAAACTCCTCGCCCTTAGAGCCATCCTTCTCTCGAAGCACGTCCTTAACCTTGGCACCGCAAAGCCTGCCGTTGGCGTCCTTCTCGAGACCAGTGACCTCGAGATGGTTCACCATGGTAGCACCATAGAGCGCAGCAGTCATAGCCAGCGAGATGTTCATGCGAGAGTCGTTGTGAGCACCATCGTAGTAGACGAGAGCTCCCCAGAGGTTCTCCTTCTTGAGCATCGGGAAAGCGTCCAGTGCCTTGCTTCGCGTCATGAAGTACGACGTCTCAATGTTTTCGGAACCAGCCAGGAAGTCATAGAACTTGGTGCCAGCCCAGAAGTATGGCGCTTGCCACCAGTTGTTTACAGGGATCATGATCGGGAGCCATTGCGAAAGATGCGGCGCAGTGTCGAGGAAGTATCTGCGTTCACGCAGAGCTTCCTTGACCAGTTTGTATTGGTTGTAGTCCAGCTCGAAGACAGCCTTTTCGAGATATCTCACACCACCGTGAACAAGCTTTGTACTCTTACTGCTTGTTCCCGCTGCAAAGTCGTCTCTCTCCACACAAGCGACCTTCAAGCCTCTTGATGCAGCATCGAGCGCAATGCCTGATCCAGTGGCACCGCCGCCAATGATCAGCAGATCATATTCATTGCTTTTATCCTCGCACGCATCGTCCACCCCAAGAGCACCCTTGACTTTCTCTTTTGCTTGTTGAAAAGCCGCGCCAGCGCTTGCTTTCAGGTCTGCGATTTGTTCCGCTCGCGATTTGACCTTGGGGAAGTTAGGAGGGCGGAAGACCCCTCCCTCGCCATACGTCGGAGGAGGGACGGCGGCGGCCTCTAATCCAGGTACATCTCGTGGACGGTAAATAAAGTAGAGTGTGCCGCCGACAGCTGCACCTCCCACTGTGGCGTATCCGAGTCCGCGGAGGAGCTTCTGTCCTCTACTTCGTGCTGCCATCGCGGTGCAACCACCAGCTCAGAAGAGAGCAGAGCTGAGGGGCCGGTATAGGCACTGTTTATACGATCGGGAAGTGGCTGTCTTCTCCGAATGCTCCACAATGTCTTGGATCCACCGGTTACGATGCGATGATGGCCACTCCCGTGATAACTTCGGTGCTCCTGCGGTCAATTCATAATGTGTGCTTCTATGGAGAATGTGATGTAATGGACTGGACATTCACGAACTTCGCGAAGTTGTTCTTGGTCTCCAAAAACGCCGGAGAAGTTCTCGTGAAAGCTCCTCACTGCTCTCTCGCTGCTGACAGTGACGCAGCCATTCGATCCAGGAGCTCTCTAGCCGACATCTAGCGTTCATGTGTCTTCACATGCCAAACTCTCGTCCAAGTCAAAGGTAATGTTCTTCAACTCTTCTTGAGGCCAGCTCAGAGAACGTGTCGCTTCAATCATCTGAAGTTCACAAAATGATGTCGGGATAAAATATTTTAATTCTGCATGCCGGGCAACAACCTGACTTGGCCGCAGACCCATCACATGATCACATCTCGTCAGCATGTAAGGTTCGAGCTAGTGACGCAACCCAAGAAGTCTGTGCTTCGCCTAATTTGGTGCTCCGGGACCGCACACATCTTTTGCCTCCCACCTCCTCCCTCCAGCTTTTCGCGTATATTCAGCAACAAGTCTCCAAAATCACAAACAGAGCCGTAGAAGACCATGAGAAGTTGGTTCACGGCAGCATAGCCTCCCCGCCCATAGTACTGATCACATGGAGCCATGCATGAAAGGAACATTCCCAGAGGATGACACCAAGCCCGCGTTTCTTAGCTATTGGCATTGGCAATGAACTTGGCGTCTCACTCCTGAGTCAGCACCGGTCTAGCGGCGAGGTACGATGGGGCTTCTGTAGGGACATGGGATACTGGAAAGCAGTACCACGACTGTGTGCACGGCAGATGAACAGACGATGGATTGTGTGCGCTCTGGTCTTGGTCTTGAAGCCCAATAGTTGCGGGAGCTGGCACTGCTTTCGCATAGATACTGCCTTTTCTAGTATCAGCAGCAAGAGACAAGGATGTGAGTATGATTCGTCAACCAAGCAACAGCAAGTCATCAAGAACACCGCCTGCTATGCCTTCCAAGATTATACTGTACTAGCTATGGTTGGTAGTACATTATGTTTACCATCTCCACTGTCTCATGACAGTTCTGCTGTCATCATCATGATTCAAGAAATTAAATTCCTCCCAGTCCTACCCCACTACCTAGTAGAGCTGGCCACGGACGGCACCTGGAACAGCCAAGCTCGAGTGTACATCGGCGAAGAATCCCCATGGACTGTCCTCAATCTGCTTGACCTTGAAGCCGGCACCTGTGTCCATGCCGGTAGCGTTGTTGACGACGCCAGTCTCGAATGGTCCAGTCAAGCAGCCAGCAGACACACGGTAGTTCTTGCCAGGGACTGGCTTTGGGTTGGGAAACGCAAGACGTGGTGGGCCAGATTTGCCCTTGGCAGCCTCGTGGACGTGGGTAGCAGTGTCGGCTGGCGACTGGTACTCGCCACGGAAGCCTTCGAACTTGATGTAGTAGCAGATAGTGTCGAGCTCGCTGTTGATGCCGAAGTCGTAGTAACCGGTGCAGCCTGGAAGACCACCAGTGGCACTAGTCAAGACGGTCAGTATGTTTATTCCTTTGCTCACAGCAAACGTCTTTCACGTACGTGTTGTTGGCATCGACGACCTGGTCAGGAGTGGCCTTGATGCGGTAGGTTGAGGTGAATGGAATCGGGAATCCCTTCTCGCTCTTGCCATAGCCCTTTTCACCCTTCCATTCAGGAGCACCACCGCAGCCTCCTGGGCGGTGGGCCTCTGGAAGTGCGCATGCGGCAGCAGCGGCACTGAGGACGGAAGCAGCGACGATTGAGCCCTTCATTATGATTATATTTGTTGTTGTTGGTGTTCGTCTTGATCTCGGAATTCGTGTTAACGAGTGAAGTTGTGATTGTAGCGAGTTGTCCTGGTTCCTTCTTGATCTGACGGGTAGCTGATGCTGAATGAACTTCTGGAAGAACGTGCAAGGACAAGGTACTTATATCTATTGTTCTCCTCTTCTCGAGTCGCAATCGCCAGTAAGCTCGGACCTTTGCCATTGCCTCACGATCTCGTCTTGGCCACAATGTGTTTACCTGCCAAGTAAGAGACCATCGTCATGCGGTCGCGTCTACGGCCACATTTGGAATTATGACATTGCAGACCTGAACATAGCCAAGGTGCATTGCTTGTCTTGAACGCGCCTCGACCAAGACAAGGCGGGATAGGTAGCAGCCGAAGAAGAGGACACCGCGCGGCGCTGTTGGCGTGCTGGGCAGCAATGTTGTGGCGTCTGGAATTTGCAGACTACTTTGGAAGATACAGCTGGAATGAAAAGAGATCTGATTCGACTCATGAGCCCGCCCAGCTATGCCAACGATGCCAGTTGACATTCCAGCGTTTTAGCAACTGAACCTGAACTCCAATGGATCGCATCGATAGATTAGGCTAGTAGGTAAACAATTAGCTTTCCGCCCCTTGCTACGCTATACTGCTTCGAGCTAACCTCTATACTTTAGATACCTACTTATACTTATAACGTAAGGATAGCTATATATAGGTCCGTATCGATAGATTAGATAGTAGCAGACTAGCTAGAAGTAAACTTAAATATACTAGTTAGAAGTATATAGTAGAAGTTATTTTCTATATCTTTAAGTTAATTTTTAATAAAATAGTAAGAAAGAGGCTTTTATCTAATACTAAAGTAATAATCTATAGTAGGCTTACTAAATATTTACTTATACTACTAGTATACTAGTATAGTATATACTAGGTATATATATTTAAATATTACTACTAGGATAGCTTAACTTCTACTATCTAATATATCCTACTATATTCTATTCTATATAATTCTAATAATAGCTATATTCTTGTTAGGGCTAAAGTGTTAGGACTAAAGAGGTTATACGTGATTAGCATATAACTAGGCTCGAGTGAAGCTAGGGTCTCGATGCCTTAGGCAGGGCTTGGCGCTTGGCGTTAGGCCAACTAGCCTGCCTTCCTCCCTCTCCTCTTAGATCTCTATCGAATACTATACTAATTCACTACCACCCTATCTACCTGCTAATATAACCCTTCTTATATAGTATTCGATCTACCCTTTAAGGGTAGCAGCTAGATAGTCCTTATTTCAAGCTTTTAGCGGTATAGCTACGAACAAGACTAATCTAACTATATTGCGCCCGAAGAACGGGACCTATACGTACTATTCTATCGAAACAACCGTACCAATTATTAAGCAAGGCCTTCTATACGGCCTACTATACTAAGTTAATCGTACTAGACTAATATCCACTAATTCCGCTATATCCGTATTTTAGGGGCTAACAATATATTATTAGTATCACCCCCTACTATAATAGCCGGCTTATTACGAAGTAACAACAACCGTACTACCGCTAGTAGCGCTAGCAATAACAACGCTAGTAGTATAGTTCCCGCTAAAGTGCCTACTAAAGTGCCTCCTACTAAAGAGCCTGCCGGAGAGCCTATTAAAGAAGAACCTATAATTCTAGGTAATGATCTAGAATTGCCTATCGACGACATTCTTAATAATATTGTCAACCGTCGATATAGCTAACTAGCCTTTAGGCCCTAACTAGTAGGGAGACTCTAAGAAGCTACCTAAAACAGGCTTACTGCCCTACGTTAAGAACAACAGCTAAAGGATAACCTCCTCGAAATTCGCCGCCTTTAGGAGGCCCTAATAACTAATACTAAGCCGATAGCAGGGCCTTCCTTACTATTAGTCCTAGTCTAGAAGAAGGATGCTAAACTTAAGGACTATACTGTATTTAATAGCTCTAGTCGAAAGCAATATAACGACTACATTCGTAACTGTAAGCTTAACTAACGAAATGCACTAAGGGCCCTGCTAGACGACTATTCGCTAGTCGTCTATACTATACAATACATTAATAGAGACCTAAAGCGTACCTAGGATAACCACTTTGACTCCCTTACTAATCAGACCGCTATTTAGTAGCAAACCTACAAAACCATTATGCTAGACACCCTTAGGAACCCTATACTAAGGCAACAACACGCTTAGGACTAGTACCTTCGAGCTAAACAAAAGACTAATTAATCGGCTCGCTCATTTAAGGCCTATTTAAAGACCCTCGAAGACGACCTCCCGACTAAAACTAATTCTATCTAGATCTCCGAAATACGCCCTAAATTGAGATAGGAATTGGTCCTTGAATTAGACTGCCGCCGTATGTTTAAACAAGCTAATCTTACACGCATTCAATTTATAGTCGAAGTCGAAACTGCTAAACGAGCTATCTAGCTCTAGCAACGACTAGAATTAAGGATCCGACCTACTAGTAACCGTAGCAACCGTAGCCGCGGAGGAAATCAAGGTTCCTACTAAGACAACAACGCTAACAATAGGAATAGTAACAACGACCGTAGAAGAAGCCGTAGCCGGCGGCTATACAGAGGAGGCCGTAATAGGGGCCGTAGAAGGGGCTCGTATCCCTATAGTACTAATCGCTTAACTAACAATAGTAGCAACAACAGCTATAGTAACAATCTCCCGACCGGATTGAAGTACTTTAACTATAATAGCACTAGCTATCTACTAGGCTAATGCGACAAACCTAAGGACTAGGCCCGAATCGACCGTGCTACCGCTAAGCACCGTAAGCACCTTTCAGCCGCTAATGCTACCCCTATCGGTCCTTCGAAAAAAGAGTAAGCGCCGCACTAACTGTTAGCCTCGTGCGGCGTAAGACTATCGACATTGTGCTAGCTATTATACGTACCTGTCTCGTATCGGACACGTATAGGACTAACTATAAGACTAAGGTTATACTAGATCCCGGAAATTCAGTTAGTGCCCTTATTAGCTATCGCCTAGCTAAGCAATTAGACCTTCGATAGCTGCCTAGGACTAACCTGCCAACCCTTGCTTAGTTTAATAACGCTCGGCACTTAACCTACGGAGCCTACTATATCTATATAGCCCTAAGAGACGACCTCGGCAATAAGCGCCTACTAAACTTCACTACCTACGCAGTAGACATAGACAGCCTCCTATCCGATATTGTTATTAGGAACCCTATTCTCAAGTACTATGCTATAGTTATAGACTTAGGCAGTTAATAATAGCGATTTAGAATCGCTAGGAAAGAGGACATTAAACACATCGACATTAGCGAGTGTCCTAATAATATTAGGGTCCTATTCATTAGCAACCTAACTCCCGCCTTAGCTAATCCAACTGCCGACCTACTCGGTAGTAATAACGATAAACTAGTGCCCCCTAATAGTATAGATCCTAAACAGCTTAAGCGTATACTAGAACCTATTCGAGAGACCTACATTAATGTGTTTAAACACCACTTGGCATCGACATTGCCTATATTTAAAGAGACGGATTATAAGATTAATATTATAGAGGGCAAAGAGGTCCCTTTTAGACCCCTCTACAACCTTAGTGAACGAGAGCTTACTATATTGCGTAAGTACCTAGAGGAAAACCTAGCTAATAGCCGGATACGGTATAGTAACAGCCCTGCTAGTGCCCCTATCCTGTTCGTACTAAAGAAGGATAGTAGCCTACGCCTCTATGTCGATTATCGTAGGCTTAATGCTGTTACTATTAAAGATCGCTATCTACTTCCTCTTATTAATAAGACCCTCGATCGCCTTTCTAGTGCCTACTACTACACTATATTAGATATTAAGGATGTATACTATCGCATCCGCATCCGTAAGGGTAATAAATAGAAAACAGCCTTCCGTACCCGCTATAGCTATTTCGAGTATCTAGTTATGCTATTTAGGCTAGTAAACGCCCCTATAACATTCTAGTCCTATATCAATCGGGCCCTGTTAGGCCTATTAGATCACCTCTGTATAGTTTACCTAGATAACATCCTAGTTTATATATACTCTCCTAACATTGCGGAATACTAGGCTATAGTCCGCAAGGTACTCGATCGCCTAAGGGCCTATAGCTTGTATTACAAGCCTTCTAAATGTACCTTTGCTGCTAAAGAGGTGTCATTCCTCGGCTTCCTCGTATTAACTAAGGGTATTAAGGCTAATCCTAAACGGATTAAAACTATTACTAAATGGCCTGTTCCTACGTTAATTAAGGAGCTGCAGTCGTTCCTCGGTTTTGCTAACTTCTATCGCCGATTCATTAAGGGCTATTTACGGCATGTGATGCCCCTAACTGAGCTTACTAAAACTAAGGCCAACCCGACTAGGGAGTTCAAATAGACTAACAAGGCGCGAGCCGCTTTTAACGGTTTAAAGTAGCGCTTTACTAAAGTCCCCTTATTATACTATTTCGTACTAAGCAAACAGATCCGTATTAAGACTAACGCTTCACAGTTTACTATATTAGCTATTATATTACAACAGGCTGATAACAATTACTAGTACCCGATTGCCTTCTTCTTAAGGAAGATAATCGATGCTAAGCGTCGCTACGAGACCTACGAGCAAGAGCTCTTAGCCATTGTCGAGGCCTTTAAGTATTAGAGGCATTACCTTAATAGGGCCTAATATACGATACAGGTCTATATAGACTATAACAACCTCCGTAGCATTACTAAGGTTACTAGAGTTATAGGTCGACAGGCTAGATAGGCCGTCTACCTCGCTAGGTTTGATTTTGATATATTATATCGGCTAGGCGTAAGCAACCCTACTAATAGCCTATCGAGGCGACCTGAT